AATTCTCACTTTAATGTTGGTTGAAAGTTGTTTTGAGTCCCATATGTTCTTCAATTGTAGGAATGCGACCCTTGCTTTGCCGATCCTCGCCTTTATGTCTGCATCTGAACCTCCTTGTTCATCGATGATGCTTCCCAAGTATGTGAAGGATTCTACATCTTCCAGAGTTTCTCCATCAAGAGTGATTGGATTGCTGTTTTCCGCTTTGAATTTGAGGACCTTGGTTTTCCCTTTGTGTATGCTGAGGCTTACTGATGCAGAGACTGCTGCTACACTGGCTGTCTTCATCTGCATCTGTTCGTGTGTACGTGATAGGAGGGCTAGGTCATCTGCGAAGTCCAAATCGTCTAATTGATTCTGAGCTGTCCATTGTATTCCGTGTTTTCCTTCAGATGTTGAGGTCTTCATAATCCAGTCGACCACCAGAAGAAAGAGGAAGGTAGAGAGTAAACAGCCTTGCCTGACTCCGGTCCTTACTTGGAATGCATCTGTCAGCTGTCCTCCATCCACGACTTTGCACTGTAGTCCGTCGTATGAGTTCCGGATAATATTGAAAATCTTCTCAGAAACTCCGTACTCTCGAAGAAGTTTCCATAATGTCCTCCTATCTACACTGTCGAATGCCTTTTCATAATCAATGAAGTTGATGTATAGTGATGAGTTCTACTCAACTGATTGTTCGACGATGATCCGTAGTGTTGCAATTTGGTCTGTGCACGACCGATCCTTACGGAATCCAGCTTGTTGATCTCGAAGTTGGGCGTCTACTGCATCCTTCATCCGGTTCAGCAACAATCTGTTGAAGACTTTCCCTGGTATTGACAGTAGTGTAATGCCTCTGTAGTTTTCACATTACAAAACAGAGATAGCCAAATCAATGCTTTCAGTAGTTATTTTGTACCTAGCAAACCCACAGCAGTTGAAATACGGAATAACAGTTTCTTGTCAAGTCATTCAAAGTCGTTGAAACAAAACGATGAACGATTTCGAAAGCCGAACTAATGAGCTGTTCTATATTTGACAAATAAATGGTGATCACACTATTTCTTAATTAAATGAATACAATTAGTACCAAGGACAATGGAATAGAATTATATTTCTGGTTATTGTTTTTTTAGCGAGTTAGTTTTCTACGGGATAAGGTCGCTAACCCCATGCCCAACCCTTCCCCTTTATCCGGTCTTGAGACCGGCAGTATCCCAAGAGGGTCTCTAGGCGGAGTTAATAAAATAGTATACTGATTACTGTTACTAGTTAGTAATTACATTTAACATGACATATAACTCATTCACCTCTGTTACGTGACCAACATACATATCATAGATAAACTTTTACACAATATAATCAATTCAATAACAATAATCAATATTCATTGGATTATTTCATTTTAGATACGGGTACTGACTTCAGTGAATATACCGATAGCAACCATAGTATTACGTAATCATTGTAAATCCATTATGATAAACAAAAGTATCTTTTCTTATTGTAAAGATCATTGAATCTTTTTCAATGAATGAAGCATTTTCAACTAAATATTTGTATGATATTATTGATTGTTTTCTTCTTTTTGATCAAGAACTGTGTTATAACTATCTGTGTATGCTCACTGCTGAGGAGTCTCATATTAGGACGAAACAGCCGTCCAGTGCTTCTAGGTTTTCCATGATGGTCTAGCTTCAATTGATTCATGATTTCGACCAGTGAAATATCTGTGTTAGAGTTGATAAAGTCGGCCAGACTATAATTTATGGACGAATCAATCCAATATAAGATAACGAGTCACGAATTTGGGCGCGGAATTCATCCATCCATTTGGCTAAATAGAGTTTTGGCATTATAAAACTGATGTCAGTTCGTGATGCAACACCCTAAGTCTAATTTTTAACCTTAACCATCAACTGTAAATGGGAATTCTAACTGCTTTATAACCTTCATTTAATCCTAATTAGAAGTTGTTCACTCTCAAGGTCACTTTAGCGTCGCTCAAAGGTCGTCCAAAAATTATAGTCTCACCACGAAGTCTACAATGTATGCTGTGAGTTGTCTCTCTATCAACATGTGACGTAATGATGATACCGGCAATTAAAGAACAGTGATTTATTGACTGGATCAATGATGTGTAAACTTGTACGAACAGTCTAAAGTTCATATCGGTTCTGCTTCCTATCTAACCCTATCTGAATGTTGAGTTTGGAACACAAATCTCAACCCCCACGATATGAATCATGAATTTTAAACATATTAGGTTTATATACAAACTGAACAGACTATCATCGCTCCATAAAGTAGAAAATAACATTTGTACAAGATCTAGCCAAAAGTGGCCTTGAATATAAGAAGCTGTTACTAATAAATTAGGAATATCTCAAGAACAGTAAATTGTATGATAATGGTCTATGAGTAAAAATAATAGGAGGAACATGAATGTGTATGGTTTAGTTACTTAACAATTATACAATAAAAATATGAGTATAGTATTAGTCCAGAAGTAGATCTCAACAGTTACCATTCATTATTCTTATCGGGATATAACAGGGTATTATTTATTTAAACCGAAGCAGGTGGTTTTCTTAGGAGGCCACACCCAGAGCCTTTGACCCAAAGGTGTGATCCACAAGGCAGTGGAGCAACGTTAGGAGATGCAGTCACATGGTAGCCAGTGACCAACAATTGGTTCATACGCCATTTGTTCCTTCAGGATATTGGAGCCCATGTGCACCATTGGTTTGGAATGAGGGTTTTCCAACTCTCCTAGATGTACTCTGTGTCCACCAACCTGGTTAAAGCGTCGGCCATTCGCTTTTTGTCCTCCACGTTGTTTTCGTCCATGTTGTAAACAATACCCGTGATGCAAGAACGCAGTGAGTAGGATTCTTCTGGTAGGGGTTGTATGTGAGAGCATTTCGAGGAGAGTTGACTCTCTCCATTCTCAGCCGTACCAGGGCATATGGGGGCCATATAACAGTGTTGTTAAATGTATAAATGTAATTAGATAGACAATAATCAAAGTTGATACAATACTCAACCACGGAAAGACGATACTTGGCAGCCGTTCACTCCCTCTCACTTCATGGCTGTGAAGCCTGGTCTTTGAAAGTATACAATAGTCGTAATTCCTACATGTTTGATGAATCATATAATCGAAATGTTACCAGCATATGATGGAAAATCCAAATGAATCAATACTATACGGAAGACCTTAAGCGATTTTAAGGATGACCTAGGAATTGATCAATCGAAGATATCAACTATTTAGACTAGATATCATAGTTTTGTATGGAAGTAAAATCCTACAACTTTCAAAGCTCAACTTCTAACCTTCAAACGCTAAAACTTTTAAATATAACAATCCTAACCCAAAACAGTTCACTTCACGAGAAAATCATCATTCTAAAGATTAAAATTGAAGCCAAGTACAACTCTGTGGATTGAACTACAAAACATACTCATTCTATAGCATAGAAGTACTACTCACTGACAGAAAGGTTTCTTGATCAAGCAGGTAAAACCATTTAGTAATTCAGAGAGGAACGACTGATGATTCCATCAGATTACTTATTAGCAATACATAGTCTAGAACGATTTATACATGGAGATTCGTAGCTCAGGTGAATGATTTGGATGGAGTTTTTTCTCTGAAATTGAAGAACTACACTATCAATATACCTATATTCAGGTTACCACAATAAAAGACATGGAAAAGGAAACGGATTCCAAGCTAGCTACAAGGATATAATTGGAAAGTATGGGGTAATACTAAATTGTAGATTGAGAATAATCTAATGAATACTTCAAGGTTTACATCCAGGAGTTTATCACTTACAAACATTGTTCAGTATAATATTTAGCCACTTTACATCGACTATTAATCCTATACTGGCTAACAAAGTACATCATAGTGGGAAGTTAATAACTATATGTGATGCATGCTACAATTAATTCAATGAATGAAGATTGAAATCTCGTGATCAAACGATAGCATTTCTACCTTAATACTACTTTATGTGAATGGTTCAATCATAAACAAGCCATGTTTCAATAGTATTTATGATCAAATAAGAACAATCTATGATCATCTCCAACATTTAAATGTGTAATTAGACTTCAGATACATGATTCTACCGTAAATTATTTGTCATGAAGACAATGGTTAACAGCTCTGTTTGTAATGATTGTTTTCTAGTAGTTCAACTCGTGAGTCGATTAGAACTAGACCACTATGAAAAACCTGAAATCACTGAACGGCCGTTTCATCCTGTTGTGAGACTCCTCAGCAGTGTGCATTCACGATCCTGCTCGTGGAATTCCAACCCAAGACTTTTAGTCAAGCGTGCGAACGCTTAACCCCTAGACCAGTGTGTCAGCTGGCATTCAACAGTGTTAATGTCTAACTTCAACCAATGATAATGCTCCACCTTCCACCATTGTTTACATTGGTCACGGCTTCTAACCGAAACTCCAGGAAATCTATCTTGAGCACATGACGGTCATTATCAGAAGGTGGGGTTTTATAGAGATTGTTTTTATTTCTTTAAAACTTACAATTTCCTATAAATTTCAAAATATACTCTCTTTTTTGGTTCATTTACCTTGTTGTTTAAATATGATAACTAACAGATCATGATATTTAGGGCATTACATGCATTGTATACAAAGAAAAGATCTCATTGTGAAATAGAAATAATACCAAATAAAGAATAATAAAGAAGAAAACTATTCAATAATCAATATGACATTGAATATATATCCATATTGATACAAAGAAGGAGGAGGTGTGTGTGTGTGTGTGCGTGGGTGGATGGCACAGAATACAATAAATGTTACATAAGTGATTTGATTTATGTGTTTTAGTTGTGATATTACTCTGGGGGTGTGTGTTTAGATTGAAGTAAAGCATATCATGTTGTTATATAACCTGATATGATAAAAGGATTGGATAGTAATGCAATGAAAGAAAAGATAAGAGAAAGAAAAAATACAATATATCATAGTTTAGATTAAAATGTACCAAAATAACGTTGACCAAAATGACTTGGTACAACTGGATGGATTTCTGATGTAACAATTCTTAATGCTGGATTACGTGTTAGAACATTGATAAGACCTATGAAACAATAATAATAATAATGAATAAATGAACTTGTTGACATAAATGATAACTGAGAACTTTAAACAACAATAATGTATATAAGTGAATAGAGATTATTAATGTGCCCCTAAATACCTTGGTACGGTCGACAGTGGGGGAGAGTTAGCTCTCACTCTCGAAATACTCTAATATGGACACGTGCATACAATCACTGACAGAGAAGTCCTACTCAATGCCTTCTCGCACCACGGGTGTTGTTTACGACATTGAGAGCATCAAAAGCAAATGTCCGACGCTTTTACCGCGTTGGTAGACACGAATAGTCCATTTAGGGGAGTTGGAAAACATTGATTCCAAACCAATCGTTGGTCACTAGCTACCATGTGACTTCACGTTCTGACGTTGTTCCATTGCCTTGTGGATCAGACCTTTGGGTCAAAGGCTCTGGGTGTGACCCCATAGGAAAACCACCTGCTTCGGTTTGGACAGCTGAGCAGTATCATAGCCCTCACACAAATCGGATGATTCATATGGCGAATATTTATTTGGTACCTCTTCATACTAATGTTTTTTTTGTTTAAATAAACAAATAAGTGTGCTAGTAGAAGTAGAATATGATTGGTTAGTGAAACTTCGGCAGACAGATACACATCTTATTAACTATTTGATTTCATTTCCTGGAGTTCTACTCTGAACACATTGCGTATAGACTGATTGAAATTAAAAAAAAAAAGTATTCTTTAGTCTTTACTTTAGTTCTTTATATTCAGTTGTGAATAGTGTGTCCTGTTATAATGTGATCTAGTCTGTGTACAATGTAATGATTAAGTGTCTAGTCTAGTGTTAGCATAGATCTTGGTCACTGATCGTATTATCATCTCATAGCAGTAGTATAATGTGGCATAAGAAAATAATTCTTTATTGTCTCATTATATCAGATATTTAAATGGTGAAACTATATCGCCGCTACGATCTTCAAGCAAGCAATCGGATTCAAGAGAACAGCTAGGGAATTTTATGCAAAATTCAAATCATAGTGAAGAATGGTCTATGTTTGATTAAGAAATTGTTTACAAGTTTTAGAAATAACTTCTTTGCATTTACACAGTGAATGTGACATGATATGTAAGCTTAATTACGATAAATAAGTGCGTCAGGTACAGATTATATCTAAGTTTGCATGAAGTGATATGACTCTAGGCTTTTCGTACTGGTTAACGCGTCATTGATTTGGCATAATGCCAATGTCATACAAGTTGGTGTTCCAATTAGCAATTTTGGCACGTGATAATTAACAGGGCATAAGAATATAACAAAATCTTAAAAGTAAACTATTTTTCATTACATCCCCTTATCATTAGAACTGAATATGTACCAAACTTTAAGTACATTTTACAATGCACTGTCTTTGGTAAAATAAACATAGTTTATGTCCATATTATTATTATTATTATTTTAACACATAGATATTGGTATAAGGAGGCACCAAATACATATGCGCCACACAAATCTCATTCGATATGTGTGACGGCTGTGATACTACCCGGATGCCCAAACCGAACCGCGTGGTTTTCTTAAAGGGCCATACCCCGAGCCTTCGACCCGAAGGTCTGATCCACAAGGCAGTGGAGCATCGTAAGCCGATGCAGTCCCATGGGAGCCGGTGACCAACAATTGGTTCATACTCCATTCGTTCCCGCAGGATACTGGAGCCCATGTACACCATTGGTTTGGAATCTGGTTAAAGCGCCGGACATTCGCTTTTCGTCCTCTCATTTTCGTGAACAACACCCCCGCCACGAGAAGGCAGTGAGTAGGACTTCCCTGGCAGAGGCTATATACGCGTGGCCATGTGAGAGCATTTGGAGAGGTAGAGCGGACTCTCCCCACTCTCGGCCGTACCAGGGCATTTGGGGGCACATGGTATATATAGTAGATAAATACTAACAGTCAATACTAGTGATAATGAATGAACGGAATCTTGCTTTAATATACGTTTTCATAGTTCATAAACTTTGTGTTATACCTGATTTTGTTAATGAATGGGTTTGTTTTCATTCCAAAAGTATCCTAGTCAATACTACAAACTTTCATTAGAAGTCTTCGAAATCTCGGTGTAAATAACTAATATGAGCAATACACTATTAAGTATACTATAACTCATTTACAAAGTACTAGTTTACTTACTTAGCTTTGAGTTGTATTTTGTGTAAGTAAGCTAAGTAATACCATCTGGCTTAATGAAACCGAAGTATATGAAGAACAGTTCGAAACCTGTGGCTAATAGGATAGTTCATCATATAAATACGTTTTCTAACGAATTCTAGATTTGCCAGCCACTTTGCTATAGAATGGTAAGAGGATCTCCACATATCAAGAATTGATCTGAGAGGTAGGCCAGGTTTGAGGAAAATAGATTCAAGATGAATTCATAATTGAATAAACAAATCATGTCAAAACGACTTTACATTAAAGAAATATAGAATCGTTCAGGGAACAAAGAATCTATCGTTGACTAAAAGAAAAGAACAACTTTTTTTTATATTACAACTTACTTTGTGGTGATACAAATAAAGTAAGCAATATTACATTTTCTATAGGAACATTATAAGTTCTTAAAACATCCAGAGCTTTCAAAACAGTTATTCCAGTACCTAAACGATTACCATAAAATAGAATAGGAGAATAGAAGAAAAATAAACTCAGTTGTTTCCAAGGTTTTAACATTATTTGGAATATCTAAAACAATTAATCCCTTTCTTTCTGTATTATATCGTTATATGCAATCGTTCTTTCATATATTACTACCATTGAAGTAACTTCTTTTATGAATTCAGTGTTCATCTTGTTGTGCTAATGAGGTACGGCAACTTGGACCGATGCATACAGATGCCTGATCCTACGTTGTAGCTGACGACTAACTGAATGACTTTGATAAATTTCAATAATGCAATGAGAAGACGAAAGTTATCGGAATCATGTGATGTATTTGTGCAATACATTTCAAACAATTCGACCACACATAATATACTTGTTAAAAACATTTATATATAAAAAATAAAAGGTCAACTAGGTAGATTAAATTTTCTGATTGAGATTATGAACCGATTGATGTTAGACCACCATTGAAAACCTGGAAGCACTAAACGACTGTTTCGTCCTAGTATCGGACTCCTCAGCAGTGCGTATCCATGATCCCGCTCGCGGGATTCGAACCCAAACCTTCGGTCTCGCGCGCGAACGGTTAAACTACTGGACCACTGAGCCGGCATCCAACGGTAATAGTGTCTAACATCAACCAATCCACGAAATCGCGCGATCATCTTCCATTGTACTGAGGTAGATATCTGCCTCTACCTGACATGGATTAGCTCCACTGGTCGCGGCTTCTCACTAGAACTCCGAAAATTCTCTCACGAAGCTAGTCGCTATTGAGCACATGGTAATTATCAGATTAAAGGTAAGCCGTAACAAAGAAAAATTATTATTATTAATGGCTCTGTTCAATATTATATTTTGGTACAATATAAAATTCTCAGCATGATGTATTTCAATATGTTTCTTTTACACAAAAAAGGAAAGAGAAAGGTGAAAAAAGATCTGATTCTGTACATTTTTTCAACTAGAGACATGTTTAATAATACAGGTTATTGACTATGTGAACTTTAACAACGTATTCGTTACATAGTATATTTGCTAGGTAAGGTATTATAGAACTCTTAAACCTTCGCTTGCGTGCATGGATTTTAATGTATTTACGTCTCGTTCTACCAGGAGATATACAAGGAGAAAGATATGAATGAAGGGGATGATTAGTATTTGATGAGATAATACCTGCCAGGAGTTTGCAAGACTTCAGATGTCTATCCACAACCATATTAATAATGACTTCAAAAGATTCACCACACACCCTGCTAACTGCCTTCAGCACTCTCCGCAATACAGCAGTCTTTCCTCAAAAGTCCGGGAAGGAATAATAGGTAACATGAAAGAATTGACAAACTGTAGGAGTAAATGTCGAGTAATCTCGAAAGCATTCAGCCTCTTTATGTAGTAAGTCAGATAGAAAACTTCGAAAACAGTAAAATATGAGAAGACCAAAAGAGATCAGAGGAAAAGGTAGTACCAAGATAATTGATCTTCGACAATATGTTTATCAAAGAGTTTCCAATGGCACAAGCATTTTGGGATCTCAATATGGTGCTTAGGTACTGTTCATGTCTCAATCTAAAGCTAACAGCTTGACATTTAGATGGATAAGTATAAGACCATTAACAACAGACCAACAATCAATACGAGACAAAAACTCATTCATTTCTACGGGATGTAAAGAGGTAGAAATCGGCATACATACAGTGAGATCGTTCGCATATTTCACAAGTGCTTTTTGTGGAAGATGGCAGATCATGCAGAAAAAAAAGAGAAAAGAAGTGGTGAAAGAACAGCTCCTTGTGGCACACTTTCATAAGACAGTAGAGACGTTGAACACTTTCCTCCAAACACAGTGTACTGTTCTCTTCCAGAGAGGTAAGAACATAGGCAGTTGGTTATCCAGCTGTCAGTGTTAACGCTGATTAACTTGTTAAGTAAAAGTTGTCTTGGGACAATAAATAAAGTGTAAAAAACAACTCTGGATAATAAATAAGTATTACCAGGGTAAGTTAAAGCTAAGAACAAATAGTTTTAAAACACATAAAGGGGGTTTCAGTTTCCGTATAACCAAGGCTTTAATAAACCACAGTATACACCTTTGAAGGCTCTTGTATAACACTACAAATAATGACTTGATATCAACCAAATGTTTCGCAGTGGAGGAAATATCTCTTTATCCTGTGATCTTATTTGACCATTGGATTTCATTTTTTTCTGGACAATGATGAAGAATATTTATAGGTTAAGGAAGATTTTGAAAGTATATTGTATTCTTTAAGTTGAATCGTTTAACTATGAAGCTAATACAACTGTGGACAACAGCCAAGTTAATTTTGTTTATCGATACAACAAGGTATTGATCACTTGTAAAATAGATATTCCGATAGCTTACTTCTTTAAGAAGTATGAAGTGTAACTTAGTGTTAAGATTTCGCTTAAGAGCAGAATGTTTTAACCAGCAAAACACACCTCTACATAGATTTATGTGCTGGATTTCGGATTTTGTTTTTGCTTACGGAATATTAATACACTGACAGGGTATCCAGATCAAAATAAATGAGGAGAGCCATATATATATAAATCAGTCATTTTAGGTTAAGCGCTATAACAACTAAACCATTCTTTAAAATTAAAGTACAAAGTATCAACTTCTATGGTTAGGTAATGGGGACACAATGATAGAATATGAGAAGTATTGGAAGCCGTAAATGTTGAGATCAAAAATTTGGAGGTTCACAATCTTACATTATAAATCAAGTATTGTCGAGAGATCTTGGGATAAAACAACTGAGCAATTTTCCCGTACAGTGTGACTTTGAATAGTTTTCTGATTATTATTAAAATAAATCGTGAGAAATGCGAATAAATAGGGAAAGACATACCTAAAATAGGATACATTAATAGAACCTTTCTATTTTCAATATTCGGTGGAAATTTAGCATAATATACTTTAGCATCAACATCGTTTTCTTTGGCTTTTTGTATCAATATCTTTCCGATACGCATAGATCTACAACAATCTCTTAGGCCACGTTCCATTGCTTCACCAGATCGCATAACAGATACTCCACAATTTCCACGAAGAAAACTTATACCTTGATATGAATGTCCTGTGTAAATGAAAAGACAAACAAACGATAGTATTAGACAGTATTAAGTGACGTGAGAAGCTCAAATCTTCGTCAAACTTTTCGATTCACAATAACGACGTAACCTAACTTGATAAGCAGAGGTTTATATATCTAGGCCTTGAGACATATACCCTTTTTGTGTAAGATCATATGATATAACTGCTTAGACCTACCTGATTGAAAGCAGTTATAAACTATGCTAACTTAGAATAATACACTTACTTCTGTTAAAGAGCGGTCCAGTGTAAGTTGATTACCATTAAATTGATAGTAATTAGTTTCGTTAATAGTTATATCACAAGCATACATAAAGTGTCTATATAAGAAGTGATTGTAGGTCGTTGAACCTAGGTTTAGTGCTATTTAGCGCTCTTCAGCAAGGAGTATCAAAATTTTTCAGTGCACTCCGTACGAGATTCGAACAGGTATTATTCAGATTCATAGTCCGAGATGATACCACTGAACTGATAGTTCAATATAAAAACAGACGTGTACGCATGATGAACAAATTTACCTGTGGGGGTCGTGACGCACACGTTTTCATAGGGAAGTTGATTTAAGCCTTCTTCAACTACTAAACGTATCTGAAAGTAATAGGAAACATTAAAAGTGGTGAACAAACATACTAGACAATCTGCATTGAATAAGAATTCGTTCCTTGGAGTATCTCTACAAAAGTATATCAAAATTATTAGTTAGAGAACATACTTATTCCTTATAACTGTTTGCAAGACACGTACATGATCCGATTGTGGAAGTAATATTATGTGTTTTGAAAATTTGGATAGTACATCATCCACTTCAATGTTATATATTGATGACTGAAGTTCCTTTAACTTTAAATTTTCATTTCCATTTTCATCATTAACACACGAAGATGATTTAACCTTTAACCATAAATTAAAGGGTTAACAAAACAACTAACCTTAATATAATGATGAGGCATATGAAACAAATATAATTAAGTGGGCACCGAGAGCAATTACTGTCACTACAACTAGGATTTTAATGAAAGTAAGGCTAAAAACGAGGAAAAATATTTTAAATATAAAAACGGATTAAGACAACTATTTATTTAATTAGGTACATAGAATGAGCGCTTTTTGTCTTAGTGATAACAATGAATAAAACATGTCCCCCGATAGATATGTCGTTTTTAAGAGAATGGCACTTCTTGATGTCTTTAGAACCTAAGACTTTTGACGTACACACCAAACGTTCACGTGATTTTCATTTTGGGACCCAATAAATCGGATATGCGAGACGCGTTAAAAAGGGATTCTCACTGGGGCTAATAATTCTAACAAAATTGAGTGAAGATGACCATCACAACAATTTTTATTTTCTCTAAATCTACATATGTCTGGGTTTTTTTATCGCGAAGTTTTCACAAAGTTCGTCCAAATTAGCACGAAACATCAAAAAGTTGGCAACTTGTTGTGCTTACTTGAGGTGGAATGTCTAGTTACAAGAATCAGAGAAGCAAAAGTGGTGACATCAACTGTAATAAAATAAGCACAACTGGTAAAAGACAAGGACTGCTATCAAGCTATGAGAATTTGGAAAAATACTGTGCTAAAAACAGCTATGAATTGAGAAGCATAATTTACATCTTTTGATACACTATAATGGTCCTAAAAGATATAAAAATGGTAAATTACATATCTATGCATTCGAGTTTTTTTCCAGAAAGAATATTTACGTAAATTTTAAAGTCAACTTTATAAAGCCTTAATAACTTGTGTTGTTAAACGACTCGATCAATGTAGTGGAAAAGTAATAAGTCTGGTGCATTTGTTTTTTTAAAAACAAAGTTTTGTATTAATCTAGTAGAAGAAATTAACTAATCAAGTTCTCTGTCTAGGAAACGAAAATCCAGCAAACAAGCATAGCAACCTTGAGAAGTTTGGATTGAGCTCTTCAAATCCCAAAATCTGGTAGATTGATTTAGTAAATTATTTGACCTTTAGAGATCTGCATTTAGGTAACAGGAAAACGTTATTGATTATAAAACGTATAATTTTCTTTAATTCCCTTCTGAAAGTGGAGCGGTAGCTTAAAAAGAGCAGTGATTTTTGTACTTGTTGTGATTATCCTTGCTTTGTGTACTTGTTGCACCAAAAAGCATTCTCGGCCTACTTTAACTAAAAGTACTTTGGTAAGGTTTGAAACTTCTGCTAAACTTTTTCCTTTTGTACTTTTTTTGCTGATTGACCGACACTCGTGTTCACATTGTGATCATATTGCGTTTTAAGTCTTTTTAATCAAATTACAATGGTTAGTAAGACCCATAAATGTGGAAAACCAAACTGCTTGTTTCCCGTTGAGAAAGGAATGCAATGAGATGAGTGTAAAAAGTGGTACCATACAATGTGTACACGTCTAAGTCCTACGGCATACAAAAGATACTGAAGGCCTAACTCGCATTGGCTTTGTATGTTTTGCTGTACAAACAAAAAGTTACTAATTCAAAAGGCTGTGGGCCTATTGGTTTCGTACTGTTAGAAAAATGATGGCGGTTGCGCTGATAACACGAGCACTGACGCTGAAGAATGTGTCAGCGTAGTACATGCTGCTATCGGACCCGCTAAACATCCGACTGTTATCGACGGGAAAGTGAAACATTAACGAGGAATGAAGTGCCGATTGATATTGACATTGGTAATCATACACGTGTGGCGGAAATTGAAGACTAGGATAAAACTGTCACCGTTCCAAATAGTTTCGAGGTGGCTGTACTGAGTGGTGATAAATGGACTTCAGTACGGAGAAAAAGAAAGGAGAAGAAAAAAGCTGTGAGCGAAACACAGCTGGTTAGCAAGTCATCGGAAGAGACGGTATCAGAAACAAAAACTCCACTGCGTGTCAAGACAGGTCTCTCTGAGAGGTCAGTCATTTTTCATAAGTTAAAAGAATCTTCCGATAAGGAACCAAAGCCTAGATTTGAACACGATCTCAGTCATTTTAAGTCCTTAATAAGTAAACTACTCTCAGATCCAGTTTCAGCAGTTAGAGTTTGTAAGCTTTACAGAATAAGACAAAAGGTGGATTCTGAAAGTCCTCGGAAAAGCCGCCTCTTTAAGGTTACATCCAACACGGTTGAAGAAAGGAACCTGATTCTACGTAACTCACGTAAACTGATTGGATCCGGAATATGAGTCCGTGAGGACCTCAGCCTAGCCGATCATATAGAGAGACGAGCTGCAGAAGTGGAAATAAATGAGCGTCACCGAAACGGTGAAAGAAATCTCGTTCTTAAGGGTTTTCAGGCTATAAAAGTTCGGAGCAAAACGATCCCCATGCCACTTTGGGTGGCAAGGGGACGCTCTCCACAGACCCAAAGGTATGCTACACAAATGCTCGCAGCCTACTAAATAAAATGGTGGAGCTCAGGTCAGTGGTTGATAAAGAAAAACCGGACGTTATTGCTGTCTCGGAAACTTGGTTAACGTCAGAAGTATTAGATAGTGAAATCCAGTTGACTGGTTTTTCAACCGATAGGGCTGATAGATTAAGCCGTAGGGGAGGCGGAGTTATCCTGTACACGAGAAGCACCCTAGCCATAAGATAAGCTGAGACAGTAGCACATGTTTCAGGGACATGTGAACTCGTGAGATGTAGTTGAAATGCCGACGGCAAGATATTGAAGTAGTTGTAGTATATCGGAGTCCAGAATGTGTAGCAAATGATTTTCTCCTAAGTAAACTTAAGTCCTGGTGTAACAACGGTAAAAGCCTTGTAGTAGGCGACTTTAATGCACCATATATAAACTGGGTTAACTTAGAAGTAGGGTCATCGATATCGTCGTCCGACTGCAAACTGTTAGAAACCTCAATTGGATTAGCATTATTCCAACACATTAGAGATCCCACAAGATACGACTTAAGAAACTCTTTTTCTATTTTAGGTTCAGTCTTCACACACGGTGATGACTTTGGTCAAATGGCTTTTTTCCCACCACTGGGGAGAAGTGACCATGCAGTCATCTTGTTCAAATTCATGGCTGAGATTGCTTGTCAAACAATTGCGCCGGCCCGTCCTAACATATGGAAGGCAGATATGCAGGCAATTAACTCCGCAGCATCGGCTGAGAACTGGGAAATTGACTCACAGACATCAGTACAAGAGGCATGGATTCTATTCAGGCAGTTATACAATCGGGTAACTCAACCATACATACCCTGGACTGTCCCAAAGAAAAAGAAGCACAGACATCCCTGGATAGGTTGGGATATTCGACGTTTAATAAGACAAAAGAAGAAATGCTGGGATGTTGCCATCCGCCTTGGCACAGCAGGTACGATGGAACGCTACAGATCGATAAGAAACGAGTGTATAGCAAAAATTCGAGAAGCTCAAAGAAAATATGAAATGCAGATGGCATAATCTGCACTCAAGTAGCCCAAGAAAATATTCCAGAACATAAACTACAGAACAAGGATGAATAATTGGGTTCCCAACCGAATTAAAGAAGGGAGTTAAATATGAAATGAGAGAGGGTGATCAGGAAAAAGCAGAGGCTATGGCTGGCTATTTTGGGGCAGTTTTCACGCAGGAACCTCCTATAGAGAAAGAATCAGATCAAAATAAACAGTCAACAAACCACCTGCTCACCACGAACTTCGATCGAGACAATGAACCTATGGCTCTTAGCACCTTAAAAACGGAAAAGTCAACAGGACCAGATGACTTACGCCCCAAAATCTTGAGACATATCGCACAATATATCGCGGCCCCACTGACTGAGATATTCAATATGTCACTTAACCAAGGTGTGTTACCTATGAACTAGACGGACGCAATCGTCACTCCCACACACAAAACAGGTCCACGACAAGTTCCATCAAATTACAGACCTGTAAGCCTCAACAGTGTTGTGGTTAAAGTAATGGAAAGAACAGTCAAACGGACCATAACGGCATTTATGGAAACCAATAAGTTGCTGAATATGGCACAACATGGTTTTAGAAAGATTATATCCTGTACAACGAACCTCCTTATAGCTAGGGAGCTCTGGATTAATGCGCTAGACAACGGAAACTCAGTGGATGTTGTCTACATAGACTTCAGTAAGGCTTTTGATAAGGTGCCAACTAAGAGACTGCTGTTGAAGTTGAAAAACCTTGGCATTACTGAACCTCTTTTAAAATGGACTAAGGATTTCCTAGTAGGTCGTAGACAGAAAGTAAGAATAAACTCCAGGTGCTCCATCTGGAGACCAGTACTTAGTGGGGTACCTCAAGGTTTCTTCTCAGGTCCATTACTTTTTATACTGTATGTTAATGATCTTCAGAGTATAGTACAGTCCCCAATGTTATTATACGCTGACGATGTAAAAATCTAACGAGTAATAACTGAATACAAAGGTGCATGTGCTCCTCAGACAGACTTGAATATCATGATAAAATGGTCTAAAGAGTGGCTGATGCCTATCAACGCGGAAAAGTGTGTCTACATGCACTTGGGGGATTCAAAGGTTAATAAGTACAACATAGGGGATATGTCATTACCCGTAGTCCGGTCTCATAAGGATCTAGGGGTGACAGTGAGTAATGATCTTAAGACGACGGCCCATTGCCGGAAGGTCGCAGCCAAGGGGCTTCGAACCCTCTGGGCTTTAAAAAGAACATTCACTAAGTTAGGTACTACCATGTTCACCACAGTATACACATCCTTAGTGAGAACTAATCTGGAGAACTGCGTTCAGGCTGCAAGCCCCTATTTAAAAGGCGACTCGGACATACTAGAAAAAGTACAGAGGGCAGCTACCCGTGCAATTCCGGAACTCCGGTTTTATCACACAAAGAGCGGCTTGAAAAACTGGACCTCTTTACTCTGTCCTATCGCAGACTAAGGGGAGATCTAATTTCGATGTACAGAATACTGAGAAATGACTTCGGATCTAAATTATTCTCTCTCTTTCTTCCCACTAGATTGGGACACCTCAGAGGACATAGCAGGCGAGTAGAAAAGCCAAGAACGAACGAAATACCCTTGGCATACAGGTTTTCACACCGAGTCATCAATACTTGGAACCTGCTGCCTGAAGCAGTGATGTCCGCACCTTCAACTGACTCTTTCAAGAGAAGACTGGGCACTCACAGAAGCATACAAGAAAAGGAATAACATAGGCCGTAGGCTTTCTGTCCTTACTACACAAATCTGAAATTTGAATCTGAGATTATTTGATCATAGAGTATTTGAGTGTATGATAACATTGATATTTGCCAGCCTATGTACATACGAGACTAAAAGGAAAGGTTAACTTGCTTTCGAAAGACCTTAATTGAGCGCTACGTCACCACCTGTACTAGAAGGTAATTGCACGGTTTGCAGTTTGACATTGCGAATGATAGCGAATATTCTCTAATTGTTTCCATTACACCAATTTCGTTCTGTTGGTAGAAGTGGGTCGCATCATGTATATATAAATTCCTGCTAACTTGGTAGGCGGTAATTCAAAGAAGCATTTCGTGCAACTTTATCCCTGCTAGAAAAGCAAGAGGTGAACATTACTCTCTCCGAACACAGTATAATTGTGTTATTAGTGAGATACGCCAACAGATATCAGGAAGTTTGATCATTGATTTCAAAATACCTCTAGCTTTCAGTGCTCCAAACTAGCTCTAGAAGAGTTTTACATGTTTATAGTCGTGAATAGATCCTTAAAATAAAGTGTTTTAAGTCTTGTACATAGGTGCTGACTCCACCAACTTTGTTGAACTGATCCATTGATGAAGATGATCAGTCACTTATTCGTAGCATATAATGATTGGGTGGGCCATGCTTTGACCACATACTTTTCGATTCATAAACCAGTTTCTAAATATTCGTTCAGACCTCATTTCTAAATTTCAGAAAGGCTCTGTATATCCATGGAATTTTATGTCTCTAAGTAAAGTAAACGACACTGAAGATGGTGATACTTAGTTGTTAGATATGTCATGAAGACAATTTCGAAAAGTTAAAACACATCGGTACTCACTTTCGGGACCGAGGTTCATTATCAACAATATTCCTATCTAGGTGATGTAGGGATATCAGTGACATCTGTCTAGCAGATGGGCTAAAACCATATATAGAAATTAACCTATGTGTTCTTATGGATGATGGGATTGCTTAGCTCACGTCATTTTACATCAGAATCACACCACTCAAGGATTCCTCAGTCTGACATATTTTAAATACAGTCAAGCTATACTGTTATCACAGAGAACTGAAATTGGCCTACTAGAATAATGTAGGTTAAAGTAAACAGACTAGAGAAATTTATTTTGTTTCCTCTGTAGAATGTTTCAGGTCATGTTGATGACTGATAAATTCACGCTTGTCATCTGTGACCCGAACGATATGTGGAATAAGATTCAGTGTCTAATGATGTCTCCCATAGTTTAGATGTGTTCATTTCGTCGGATAACTTGGGTGGGGTTCAGTGACATCTCACTGACCCTATATAGATACGTATTGTTCTACTCAGAGACAGTATTCTGATCTGAAAGCTGTTCATAATAATAGTTCGTACATGCATTCATCCATATTCTGAAATAAACGACATCTCATATACTTTTTACTGAAAATGATTATTAGTATCTTTAGGCAGGAGTGAAGTTATACGAATGAGAGCCTAGTGTCACCATCCGGGACTCTACTAAACATTAAGAATCGCCCTATAACGTCAAGGTGTAGGCAAAAGAAAGCAGCTAATTGTTTTCAGATCACGTAGGATATGTCGAAAATAAAATGGTGTCTAGACCTTGACTTTAATTGACACAAAAAATTTGACAAATATCAAGATACTGGCAAATGTAAAAAATCTAATTGAATTTATCAAGTAATAATAACATTTTTTCATGTGCAAATACTATTATAATAAAATTATAACAGTTTCAGATAATCCGGATCTATAAAGGAGTGGATTCCTTTCACTTTCCACTTTCGTTCTTACTCACTAAATTCAAGTTTCATGAACTGTCGAGAATGGTCCGCATTTTTGTAATTTGGCCTTGAGGTTAGATGCAAAATATTTTCCAGCCACATCCGTTTTCTACAACAATTGGGACTCTGACAGGTAGATAAATAATTTTTCTATGTGGATGAGACGTTATTTTAGAAAGAGCGACTGATAGTGGTCAGCCGTCAGAAGATTGGGCTCTGATTTTGGAAATATGCGACACAGTAAATGAAACGGATGATGGGTGAGCCTTTAGAGAAGACATAATTTTAATTTTATAGGCCTAAGGAGGCTATAAGAGCGATAAAGAAACGTCTAGTCACTTCTGCAGGCAAAGACAACGTTTCAATATGGTACACATTAACACTCCTTGAAACTTTAGTAAAGAACTGTGGAAAAAGATTTCACAGTCAGGTTGCTAACAAAGAGTTTCTGCATGCTTTTCTAAAACTTTTATCACCTAAGAATGACCCTCCACAACAGCTACAAACGAAGGTTTTGTACATGCTTAAAGTAATTGCTTTCAAATTGTTGACGATCTTCCTAGTGTTGGATATCAAGTAACTGGGATGTCGCTGGTAAACGGGATCTGGAAAAAATATATGCTTCGCTTTTACAAAAAGGAGTGCAATTTCCAACGGTTGCACCAGTTGACTGTTATGCATCAAAACCGTCAAGAGGCGTAAGTTTGAGTGTTGTTTTTTGATTTCTATGTAACCCTTTTTACTTGAACGTAAATAAATTATCAACGTAACACAACCCGTAAAGTTAGTCTTCATAGGTACATTTATTGTGGTGAGTTGGATTTCGTTCCTTTGGAATAGGTTATTCAAATTTGTGAGTATAGTGAAAACTACTGTAAAATAGTTCCTGTCTTATTGGTCCGATATCTGACTCCATTTGGATCGTGTGTATCATTGCCATTGAAACATACATGTTGCCAATCCTCGCATATAATTATCAACTTAACTCGCGTTAGTGGATAACGAATTGAATAAGTCAAATTCAACAATGGATTTCGAATACATATACTTCATACAACCATTGATCCAGACAAACGATCGGAAAAACGAAGCGAAATGATGCGCAGTGGAGAAGACGATTGAGTCGACTCAATTTAATCAAGCGTTCAATGATATTTATAGTCAGACAAAATAAGTTACAGACATGTGACGAATAGGGTAAGGAATACACGCACACACTCTCATATAAAAGCAGTCAGGATTAATAGGCAAATAATTAACAAGGTCAAAATTGTGACTGAAGAAGGGCGAGTAAATTGGCCTGTCTGGAAGCTAGAACAAGCTATGTGGGCTTGACATAGCACCAGACACTACACTGTCTTCCATCTTGAATCATATCTTTTGGTTTCTCATTTGACTAGTGTTACAGTCGTTAAGTATTTCCACAAAATCCTAATGAAACAACGTATGATAGTCTAACGGTCAATCTCCTCTTCACGACTTCATTTTTAAACTTGCCATTTTCTTAGTTTTTTGTCCAGATCCAGTGTCGTGAATAATGCTTCATACATATGTTACTGAGACAACATTTATGAGATGTGAGCCAATTATGATAATTACATACGCTGCACTATCTAAACACTATGATGCATTTATTATAATTCAAGAAGAGTGCGGTTAGCGTCAAACGTTTATAAATCATCGCACTGAATTAGAATTTTCAGCAACAATTATACTGAAGTTGGTTATTTTTGTTTCCGGAAACTTTTTATTTAAAACCTTTGATATGACTAAACGTATGGTCTCCGCTCCATAAAATTTTGAAGATGCTTTTTAAAACGAGTTAATACCGATTATATTTGGAAGCGCTAACATATATTATTACGTAGAACAGAACCATTTCATATCGGTCTATTGCAAACCTTTTCCAACAGGAATATAGATGTGTAATAATCATTACATCACTGTTACTTTGTTTCGTCCAGTTATGATTTTACTTAAATAGAATTTATATAAAGACTAAGCCAAAAGTATATGAATTTATTATATATCGTGGTTGTTTTGGTTTTACTAAAGCATGTAGATTGAACAAGTTGTACAGGATTTTCAATCTCATTATAGATGTTTCTATAACAAACACTCAAGTATTGTAACTTCTAGCATCAATCTTACCGCTATAATATGGAGACATTTTAACCGATATAGTTTCAGGTCTCGCAGTGCGAAGTTGTACATAGAAAGAGAGTGGTGCTTATCGAACCTCTACACTTTCTTAATCAAAGTATTCGCATTCTAAGTGATCTTACATTTAATAGTTGTATAAACAAATATTACTATGAAGCGATCATTTCCGTAGATAGAGGATTGGAAATATAATGATTTGATCCTTTTTTTTATCTTAAAAACTATTTTAGCTACGTGATAATTTGGTCACATCTAAAACTGGAGTAACTATTCCGCGAACTTGTTCACAAGAAAATGATAAATTAACTGGAAGATCTTTAGTACTTAAAAGTTCTGGAACAGGTAAGGTCGTTTTATTTCGTTCAATGAAGTGTTTACCAGTGACTGGATTGATTTAGGTTTTTATTTATAACTTGATTTCTGCTTAAGAGGAATGTAAAACAAATAGCTTTGGGCAATAGGTTTTTACTTAGGATAAAGCTTCTCGGTAGTTTTATGAGATCATTTTTTATAGGATCGTTCTTGAGATTTTTAAGTCAAAGCTGTAAATTTAACATCTGACAAGTAAGCACTTCTCATTTTCAAAATTTTTGCATTACAGCGTAGTAATTATTCAGTATTATTGATAAGGTTTCTCACTCAAAACCCGATTGACCTCATGGATCAAAGCTTAAATCCTTGTATAATTACACTGAAAGCAAGTTAACTTGGTTGTTCATAATTTGTAGAAAAAATGCAGAGTTGGTTATTTTGTTAAAAGTAATTCATGAAACAAGTATATTCGTTTTTGTGGTAATTTACAATATTTGATCACTGGTTAGTGACTAGCGTTATATTTGTCTTTTGGATCGGTCAAACGCTATCGAATACATCCCAACTAGGTCATTACTAGACGTGGTTCGGAATCCCAGTCCAATATATCAGATGTTAGATAGTTGATATTGCAATAGTTCTTTGTCTTACAAGTATAAGTAAAAAGCGATTCCGACAGCAATTAACGAAGATTAGATATAGCAGTTGGAGACTCAGTCATAACATATTAGCGACGAGGATTTGTAAAAAAAGAAAGTCATAACAATCGCTGACGGGGTCAGTTAACAAGTTTCAGTTCCCAGTATAACTGTCTGGTTCCACTTGTAACTCAGTTGTCAGTTCAACTTACCCAAATCCTATTTCTACAGTTATGCTTCTGCTTTTTTGTCAAGTAGCTGTTACAAAAAACGACACGGTTATTAGTGTAAGAACATGTCAATTTCAGTAGCATCAGTAAAAGCAATGCTTCAGTTTAATGAAGATGTGTTCATTAAATCTCATTTAATGCTCATTGGTGCATTGAATGAACACATGCTTAAACAATTGAATCCGAAATCGCACTCAAAAACCATAGATACATTTAACGAGGTAACTGGCACATTTCCTGTTGCAATAGGGAACAGTTTAGTTATTGAGGAAGAGGTGAAAACATTCTTTGATCATGTTGACTCTCGGTAGTGTTTAAATGTTTTTTTTATTATCAAATTCCTCTTATTCTAATTATCCAGTCATATCGAGTGAACTTCATAATCATTTTGAGACAAATGTTTCAAATGAATCAATTTTTGGTCAAATTTCTAATGATATCATATCAGATGTTGAATACCTTAATGTTTCATTGGTTTTAATGTAGTTCTTAATGAATTTGAGAAAAATATTCTAAATGAATCAAATTCTGGTGATATCATAACAAATGTTTCTTGTTCTCACAATACATTCGTTACTAACGAAAACCTTAGTCAGTATAAAACACAAGTTTTCAATGGGTCTAAATCTAATTGTAGCTCTGATGGTCCCACATCAAATGTTATTTATCCTCACAATCCATTCACTCCTAGTCCGCATCATGTTTTAAATGAGTCGCATTCTGGTCACATTTTAGATGTCATTGTAAAGGATGTTGGGTACCCTCACACTATATGTCTCATAGAATCCCTATTCAATGCTATGATGAATCGTTTGATATAGCAAGTGCTTACAAAGCAGTCCTGAAACCAGAATGCCTAGAAGCGATGTCGTTCCTAAGTCTGATAGTTCGAAATTCGGGTTAAGACTCGATGCCTGCTATGGTAGAAATGAAAATTTATTTAGGATAAAAGTGTTTGAACGAGACACTGGCTTAAAAGTTCATGCTTACCTCAGGAAGCTTATTTATTTATTTTATTTATTTGAACACAAATATTGGTACAAGGAGGCACCAAATAGATATGCGCCACACAACTCACTTGATTTGTGTATGGGCTGGGACACTGCCCTGGTGCACAAACTGAACCACGTGGTTTTCTTATGGGGTCACACTCCGACCTAAAGGTCTAATCCACAAGGTAGTGGAGTAACGTAAGGAGATGAAGTCCCATGGTAGCTGGTAACAAACGATTGGTTCACACTCCATGTGCTCCTTCAGAATCCTGGAGCCCATGTGTACCATTGGTTTGAAATGATGGTTTTTCAGCTTCCCCAGGTGGATCCTCCACATCCACCAACCCCGATTGAAGCACCGGACATTTGCTTTTCGTCTTCTCAATTTCGTAAGCAACACCACAGAGGAGAGAAGGCGGTGACCTTAGAAAGCTGAGGTCAAATGAAGATGAAAAGCGTGCGAATTTCATCTCGCCAAAAATATTAAATATGATGTATTTACACAGAGCACTCAACGTTTTTAGGAAATTGTATGATGAGCAGTCATCCAATTTAATTATTAGTTATAGTGATTTACAAATATACAACGAATCTGATGATACTTACTTTGTTTATTCGGAAGAAGTGAATGCCACACACAAAAAGGTAAGCATTGTTTTAATAACTCAAAATCAGTCCTGTTGCATGTAGAATGCGGCTGCTTACTGATCCTTATGAGTATGAAGCACATGCAAATGTTCCCGTTCAAATGCTTTGAAGGCAAAGTGAGCCAATATAAATCATCTGCCTTGTTACTGAAAGGTCGAAATGCAAAATGAGCTTATTAGTATTGTGAATCGAATAATTGCTTCAAATGTTTCGTTATGAATAGTGCAAAAATCACCATGTATAATATTACCCATACAGGTCAAGATTATGCCCACTCACCCCAATACACACATATAATGAAGGTATGAGTAGTGCTGAGACAGTTCAGCTAAATAAAGTCACATGAAGATGCAACATTATTTCATGAGGGAGGGAGAATTGTATATACATTGAACGAAGGAGCAGAGCATATAAGTCAAAAGGTTAAATAGACTTTTTTCAAATCTCCCTCTCCAATTGTTTTGTCTGGTCGTCGCTGTTTGTTATGTCGGACTCACTCATTACTTATACTTGTAAAACGAGGAAACATCGCAGATATACAACCCTGGTTTTAGTGGTCCGATGATCTGACTCCAGCTGGTCTGATGGTGCTGTTAACGAGATATACACCCCGGCTACCCTCGTTCATAATTATCGACATAATTTTCGTTAGAGAATAATGAAATAAAATAAGTCAAATACGGGAATGAATTTTGGATACGTATATTTCATACACTCGTTTATCCAGACAGGCATTAAGAATAAGAAGCAGGAAGGTATACGTGCCAACTCGATTCGATCAGGTGTTAATCACTATTTATAGTCAGACAAAAATAAGCCAAAGACATGTGATGAATAGGGTAAGCGATGCATACATATGCGCTCATATAAAAATAGCCAAGGTTATAAGTGAACAAATGACTACGTCGAAATGTGACTCAAGAAGAATAAATTTATTGATCTTTCCGAAAGTTAGAATGACTCGTGTGGTCTTGATATTGTACTAAACACTATATAGTTCAAGTTTCTTGCAATGTTTGATCCTTCAGCAAGGATTATTTACGATAGTAATATCAATTCCCAGTAACATCCAGCTATTTGATGGGAATGAGTAATGAACCAATATGTTAATAATGAAGTTATGTTAAATAAGACAAAATGACAATGAATGATGATTTCTTCTTCTTCTTCTTCTTTGTCTCTTATATTACACTAAGCTGTAAACATATCGAAAGATTGCGATTAATATGTGACTTTGTTTTTAATTATATTCATCCTTAAATTAAAATGTGAAATAAAGGAACTTTTTAAATGATTGAATAACATCTTACAGTGTTGATATTCAATGGTTAGCTTTTTTTAGCGAGTTAGTTTTCCACGGGATGGGGTCGCTAACCCCATGCCCAACCTTCCTTCTTTATCCGGGCTTGGGACCTGCAGTAGCTCAAGAGGGGCTCCATGCGGAGTTGATATTCAATGGCATCGTATTAATTTGTTTTTTATTGCATTGTATTTACTCTTGTCTAAGTGCATGATTTGAATTATTTATTTTTTCAAACATATTTAGAATCGGATATCCATTTACGTAATCATTTATCTGTAAATCCATCAAGTTCAAGTGTATTACATCCATGCTCTGTTTGCCATTGTATACATGAATCAAATATTCAATCATTAGCTTGTCATAATCTTGGTTCAAGACCTAATGTTCATCCTACTGGTAATTCTGTATCCTCATACAGTCGTTCAACACGGAATGTGCATTTTAATGGTACAGTTCAAAATAGATCACAGATTAGTACTATACCAAATGATTGTACTGTAATGGTTGTTAACTCAGGTAAGTTGTTAAGGCTCTTTATGAAATAATTTTGATTGGCAACGTTTATTTTCGTATTTTACAAGTTAAACTTGTAACTTCCAAACTGATGTTTGATTTCAGTATACCTTTTGATGAGACGTTAGACACTTGTACATTCTCACAGGTGAATTGATGGCAATGTTTGGGTTGTGTACAGTTCTAATAATGAACACTTTAGATATGAGTTACATAAAAACACCCAAACGTATAACACAACTAAGCTACACCGTCTTCAGAAATACTCAAGATGAATTGCGATACTATAAGTCATGAATACGCTTTTAAGGATCCTAAAGTGTTCTTAAAAAACTCTAACCACTGAGGATTGGGAATTGAAGTTAAAAGTAATAGTTTAGATTTAGAATTAAGGTTTTCATCATAAACTAACATCAGCTACAATGCATAAGTGGTATTTAACTGTATGGATGACGGAACTGTGCTCTAAAATCTGAAAGGTGATATCTTGAACACATTTAGTTTGTCTATAATTTGTAGTCCCACCAAAAGTCTATGGACTATCAAATCTAAAATACTTCGAGGAAATAACTTACCAAAGAACTTGTGATTAGTTACTTATTAAAAAAAGAAATATATCCCCGACAAACTAGAAACGTTATTTTGTTAGGTGTCGACTAAACAATTTGATCTCTCAGAATCACTGACAAGTGGACTGAGATATGTTGGTAGGTGTAGACTACTTGGTTGGGATCCGTGAAACAATAGCAACCGATGGTTAGAGACCTTAAATGACATGGGTCAAAATCGTTTGCAATGGCGCAGGTGCATCCACTCTCTGTGCTTTCCCAAATTCTAATCTTCTCGATTCTTCATGTTCCTTTCTTTTGTCTCTTTTCAAATTTATTTCACTGGATTATACTCCTTGAATAACATCTTCAAACCTTAATCTTTCCGATTACTGCTTATACTCTTACTACCTCTACCACTATGGGATTTGAATAGACAATTGCATCTGTGTGCTAATGTGGTGTGGCAACTCGAACTGATGTACGTATGTACGAAGTTCTACGTTGTTACTGACTGACTGACATTTTGTACGAACTATGTGCTATGAAAATGTCAATTAATTAAACCTCAAATGAATATACAAGTTAGTTGTCAAATGAAAAAGATACATCTAACAATGTCGGAATGTTATTTTATTCAGCTAATTCAAGAAGCAATATGGTAACCATCAAATATAGAAGGCAATCAAAACAGATTAAACATAGTCATTAAAAAAAACCCATGCAAATAAGTTGATACACTAGAAAATTAAGAGTAAAATGAATAGAAACAATTTCTTGATGGATCAAAATATAAGTGGATTTCATGAATGAGGATGCTAATCATTATAACTTGAGATTTAAGGGTAAAGATATAAGTTTATTGTTACATAAAATGTGTGCATAGAGGTGAGAAGGGGGAGAGAAGACGATTGGATTTTAACATATATACATGCGAACCTATTTACAAAACATCTTTACACTACTATCGAATTATTAGTTGTATATTGTAAATAAATGGGTCAGTTATACACTACAAACCATCATGATACTAATGGGTAATAAAAAGGATGTGGCAGTTAAACCATAATCCGATATCGGTTCATGAAATTATCAACAATTAGACTAAACTCTTGTAATAGGTTCAGACTATTTGGTTTGTGTTTCGCATAATTATCGTATTAAATAGTTAGAAACATTGAATGACATTGTAATGATTCAGGTTTATTCACTCTTTATCATCCTTCTAGATGTTTCAGTATTTCCTCATATAGGTCTTTATTTTGAATAATACCGTTTGTTTAGTCAATCTCACTTCATTTTGTTAATATTGTATGACAACTAAGACTATCATAAGTTCATACCTTGATATACGATGATTATGATTAACTTCTTAACGGACTAATGTTATTATTATTATTATTTGGAAATTTAACTTCCTAATCTAATAAAAGACATTTTTAAGGAATCGGTTCAAAGAGGCAAACATATCTCTTTTTATCAGATATTAATCACCATACACTCACTAGTAACTTGTTTTCAAGACGTATATCCTGGAGTTCTAGTGAGAAGCAATGACCAGTGGAGTTCAACCGGGTCTGCTGTGAGATAGTAACTCACTGAAGACAATGGTGGATGTGTCACTCAATCTCGTGGATTAGTTGAAGTTAGACATTAACACCGTTGGATGCCAGCTAGCTCAGTGGTCTAGAGATTAAGCACTCGTGAGCGAGACCAATAGGTACTGGGTTTGAATCTCACGAGGCGGGATCGTAAATGTTCACTACTGAGGAGTTCCACAATAGGAAGAAACAGCCGTCCAGTGCTCCCAGGCTTTTCATGGTGCTCTACCTTCAATTGACTAATGGTCTCAACTATTTTTGATAGTTTCAGTCACTTAATAATGTACTATCGTAAATTTGTATATTTAACAAAATCTGATTCTTATCAGAAGGGGTTGTGTGGAGATCTAAGAAATTTCACTGGTTGAAATCATGAGTCAATTGAAGCCAGATCACCATGGAAAACCTGGAAGCACTATACGGCCGTTTCGTCCTAGTATAGGACTCCTCAGCAGTGCGAATCCACGATCCCGTCCCCCGCGAGACTTGAACCCAGGACCTATCAGTCTCACTCCAGGCGCTTAACCAACTAGACCACTGGGCCGGCATCCAACGGTGTTAATGTCTAAGTTCAACCGATCCACGAAGTTGCGCCACCAAACACAACATAGAAATTAGATAACATTTAATTATACAATCCAAATAAATAAATAATATAGGGTGAAATCATGACCACATATCACTGATAACCGGATATCTACACCAAAAGTGTAAAGAACTGATTAATAAATTTTTGATTAGATTAATATTAAATTATGGAAAGTACTATATATAGCAATAGTTTATGCATCACACTAGGTGGAATACAAAAGTACAATCATTTAATTTAATAATAAAATTAACTCACTAATAGTTTTGGGTGTAATTTTGAATTATGGTCTGTGAGGAAAACCCACGGGTGAACTCGAGGAAGCTCTAAAAAGTTCAGAAAGAGCTGCAGATATTCCATCCAATCATCTTTTGGAAGAGTATTCCACAATCCCTACGTATAGCTTCTCTATTGGATCAATGCTAATAACCTCCTGTATGCTGATTGGAGGACTATAATAATCATTTCACTCTTACTAAAAAAACTATAAATATCTGACAGTTTTGTACCATAATTAACACTGTTTTGGAATAGCATTCTTTTCACTTGTCTTCTGTCTTCTTATTTGCGACTTAGAAGGGTTCTAGCATTTGAGTGCTCAAGTTGTACGCAGTATATTGGGAATCTAAGCTCTAAATATAACATGGTCAATAGTGAAGTTGCAAAGCATGAGCAGCATATCTACAACTGAAGAACATCTGGAACTCAAAACCACTATCTGTCAACCAACACCAAAGTCAGAATTTTCAATACAAATGTCAAGACAGTTCAACTGTATGGGGCGGAAACCTGGGGAACTACGAAAGCCATCATCCAGAAGATACAAGTGTTTATTAACGGTTGTCTACACAAAATACTTCGGATTTGTTGGCCAGACACTATGATCAACAACCCACTGTGACAGAGAACAAACCAGATTGAAGTGGAGGAAGAAATCAGGAAGAAGCGCTGGAAGTGGATAGGACACACATTGAGGAAAGCACCCAATTGCGTCATTAACGCAAGCCCTCACATGGAATCTTCAAGGCCAAAGGAAAAGAGGAAGACCAAAGAACACATTACCCCGATAAATGGACACAGACATAAGAAGAATGAACAGCAATTGTATAGAACTAGAAAAGAAGGCCCAGGACAAAGTGGGTTGGAGAATGCTGGTCGGTGGCCTATGCTCCATTAGGAATAACAAGCGTAAGTAAGTAAGTGAGCGGAATTGCTGATGCACATATTTCGTTCTACTTGAGACTCTTCAGTTAGTTTTACCTCCATACTACTGTTGATGTTTTCACTGAAATTTGATTTCAACAAATATCTCATAAAAAATCAACATGTAATCCACTAATTATTCAACAATCATGATGTTTCTACAAAACGTATTATCACATTATAATGAAGTATTTTTCTTTAAAACAAAAAAAAACTTAGTCCATTTCATTATGATCACTATGAATAACAATGTTTATTATTATTATTATTGTTTGTAATTTGTAGATCATCAACCATCTACTTTAACTTATCCACATCCATCTCATACACATGGTTTATCATTATCTAATAATAAATGTCAACAAATGAATACAAATTATTCAATGAATTCTAATAATCCTAATAATAATAATAATGATGAAATGGAATTTGATGAAGATGGTATTGTACGTCATTTAAATACTTCACAACGTATTAAATTAACAGAAGATTTATCTATTGTTGAAACAAATATTAATGTATTAAATGATTTATTAGCTGAATTAAGACCAGATACTATAACGATAGATGATTTGAATTTACTTAAAGTAAGTATGTAAAGATTTCATAAGATTTTCATCAATTTCATAGGTTAAAGATAAACTTGTGTTTTGGATCAGATTTATTTGTTTTAACATATAGATATTGATACAATGAGACACTAAATAGATATGGGCCACAAAAATCTCATTTGATATGTGTCAAGGCTGTGATACTGCTCGGGTGCCCAAACCGAACCACGTGGTTTTCCTAGGGGACCACACCTGGAGCCTTCGACCTGAAAGTCTGATCCACGAGGCATTGAAGCAACGTTAGGAGATGCAGTTTCATGGTAGCCGGTAACCAACGATTGGTTCATACTCCATTTGTTTCTTCAGGATCCTGGAGCTCATGCACACCATTGGTTTGAAATGAAGGTTTTCCCACTCCCCCAAGTGGATCTTTCGTGTCCACCAACTAGACTAAAGCTCCAGACATTCAGTTTTCGTCCTCTCAATTTCGTAAACAACACTCATGATGCGAGAAGACAGTGAGTAGGACTTCCCTGGCAGAGGCTATATGCGTGTGGACATGTGAGAGCATTTGGAGAGGGAGAACGGACTCTCCCCACTCTCGGCCGTACTAGGGCATTTGGGGGTTACAAGTATACTTGTTCTTGAATGATAGGTTACATGAACCAAACGAATTGAATACTTTTTGAGTGGATCTTAAAGCATTATTCAGTTAAAAATTTTAAGAGAGGAATGTTAAATAAATAGTAGTTCAATATAAAAGTATCAAATCAAATCTGGGCACTTTGTTTCAAAGAAATTTTACTTAAAAATAATATAGTTAGTTATACAATATACCCTTGTAGGTCAGCGTAATTTTATATTGGTTTTCAGGAGAACTAGACACCGTCCAGACATTCACGTGACAACCCAATCTCGTTTAGCAGGAAAGCCAGACACTGCCCAGTCTTAAATTTTATATTTCGAGCTGTACAGCTCAAATCCCGCTTCACAGAAGAACCAGACACCGTATAGGTTTTAACGCCATAATCTGAATAGTGCAGCTCAATCGTGTGGTGCAACCACACATGTGCCAAGCACCCTGGTGGACCATTCATATGCACATTCACGTCACATGTATAATAATTATCCCGATCGATGATCTCGTGAATCAGTTATGCACAGTACGAACAGGACAAATTTGACCTATTCTGCTTACACCACAGTCTATATCATTAATGTTAGCAATGGTGACATGCCTTACAATGTCCCAATCACAATAGCCCTTAAGAACACTGGAAAGCAATCACCAGTGTGAATGAAATCAGTTAACCAGCAAACCAATTTTATGTATGAATAGTCAGCAAAACTTGCCAAAGCAATGCCGAACCATCCACAATATCAATGGCAAACCTTCAGTTTCATATGAGGCCTTCATCTCTACATAGCCATATAGCTGATTATTGCATACAATACATATGTAGGGTAGTAAACGAAATAGCCCAGCCTAAATCGTTAGGGCTTAAATAACACTTAAAAGCCATTGTCTGGTGTCGGAATACAATTACTAGACCATGAAGATCATTTTTATCGCATTTGCGAAATTTTCATTTTTACAACTTTTCAGATCCTAAGTTAGGGGTAGTATAATTAAAAGATTGTGATCATAGGGTGGTCAAATCAAAAACTTATGCACTGTTAAGATATTGGTGTGGTGTGTGCTATTGATATCGACAGATATAGGTAGTATGTATCATCAATCGAGAGTGAAATGCCTAGAGGCAGAAGGTTAAGAAGATCAAAGAAAAGAGAATGATTGGTGTGAAAACGAAAGAACAATGAAGTCTGAGACGATTGATTGACATTTTGTAAATAAAGTATTCATTGTATGGTTCTCAGATTTCATTAAGATGTTCTGTAATTTTATGCTGAAATGAATTCGATTGTTAAAATCATTAAGCTATTGGTACAAGATGTTGTTTAGTGTAATAATAAGTTGAAGAAAATGTTACAGTGACCAAACAATAATGTGGGATCATTCTCGGAAGTTGTTGACTGTTAATCGGATCCCTGTTAATACGTCTATAAGACATGATCTGTAGTGGGAAGATGACTCAAAGTTAATCCCAGTCAAGCAGATCCATTCACTATTTTCTAATCGTGGTGTTTTAGCTTAATCATTCTTTTAACTACCGCTGATACTGTTACTATTTCTATGAGTTTTTGGGTTTATCGTGACCATGTCATCTGTTTTTGCTGAAGTGGTGTGGCAAGTTGAACTGATGGTCATATGTACCAGATTTTGCGTTGTTTATAATTGAGTGACTGGCTGAAAAACGTAGTAATATGCAACTACCTCTTCTTAGTTTTCAGTTAGTCAAAGTATAATAATATATTTTAAGGGAACTACATTAATTGAAGAGTGTGATGAATAAATTGCACAACAGAAACTCACGGATAGTCACTACTATGTATATGTATCAAATAAGTACCTCCAACAGTCTATAGGGGTTGCATTTGATGAATACAACATAATAAATAACTAGTCACATTGAGTTTGGATGTTTAATATAAATGGAGTTTATTTGAAGAAGTTCAGACTGAGTTAAGCTAAGATGGTGGTTGGAGGTAGTCGACAGGAAACCCTGGACCCGGGTTTCGTGCTACTTGGCACTCGTCAGCAAGGTGTACCTGTAATCTTGAGAGAACTGGTGCTCCCTGGCGGATTCGATCCCGTGTCACCCAGCTTCACAGTCAGAGACCTCCTGTAGGACTGAGATGTAATCACAATTGATTGATCACTAAGCTAAAGTTTTACAAAATAATTCAGTTTCATGACTAATAAGTATTATCATAATTAGTTTACGAAGATTTTCGATATTCTCAGCAGTGACTAGTTTTAATATGAACATTTGAAAATTTTGGTGATCACTGGTGTTCAACCATTTCGAAAATGAGACAGGGAACATTAGCGATAGGATCAAATGAAGGTCACACTATATTGTTAATTAATTACATTTGTAAATAGTGATCATTAGACACTTATCCAAATTTATTTCACTGGATTATACTCCTTGAATAAGATCTTTAAACTTTATTGTTTCCGATTATTGCTTATACTTTTACTACCTCTACCACTATGGGATTTGAATTGACATTTGTATTTGTGTGTAATGTAGTATGGCAACTTGAACCGATATACGTACATGCGGAGTTCTACGTTGTTACTGATTGACTGACTTATACAATGAACTAAAGATATTGTATTTTGCGTAGACTACTATTTATAAATAGTTGTACCTTTTTGATGATGATTGTAGTAGTTCTCTAAGTTTCAGCTCCGTTCAGTGGAACTGACTTGACGTTCGTATTGACAATTCTTACTTTGGTGTTGGTTGACAGTTGTTCTGGGTTCTATATGCTATTCATTTGTGGGAATGCTGCCCTTGCTTTGTCAATCCTCGCATTCACATCTGCATTCGATCATCCTTGTTCATGAATGATGCTTTCTAGATATGTGAACGTTTCCACATTTTCCAGAGTTTCTCCATTATCAGCGCAAACTTCAGGTAGAAGTGAAGTGTTCGAATTTCTCCACATCATTTCTCCATAATATCGAGGTCTACAGGATAACCTGAAGTTTGTGCTGATGATGTCGTTTAGAAGAATTTTGAAAGCTCCACGATCAAATCATCCACCTCAGAGAATAAAACTCCATCAAAATCATCCATCTAAGCTACAAATCTTCTCCATCATCTCAAGATATATATATTGAATTATCTAAGAATGATTATTTCAAAACTGATTTGATTTATACTTCTAGTCGAATAAAGATCTGATACTATTTTCTATTAAATTATTGACTTAGAATTAATTCTGTTGACCTAGAAATGGATATTAATATTTGTAATTGACTACAGGATAAGTAGTTGTCCGTTATCCTTAAGTATATATATCTTTCATTATGGATAAATAATGAAGATTGAAGATTTGTTCAAGAATAAAGGACTAATGATAATTTTCTTCTTATAACTTCTCTATTCATTGTATTTCACATTTCATTGGTTTTTCTATTATTGAACTATCTATTCAAACTTAATTCGATATGAATGTGTGTATGTGAGGTAGGTGGTTAACCGTGATAGTTTGAACCCCAATGACATGACCTTAGATGAACTGAAAAACAAATAATATAATAATAAAAGATTTTAAATTCACTTGGTATTGTTTTACTTGAATTTTCCCATTGATGATTAGGACTGTAATTGATCAGTCTATTTCTTATTGACATATGTGCGTACTGTGCATATTGCCTCGATATTGCCTTACTGCACAAGCATTATAAGTAAAGATGGATATTGGCTAATAGTGGAATTCAGGACTCACGTTTTGTCCTACTTGGGACTCATCAGCTGGATGTACTTGCATCTCCAAGTTGGTGTTCACTCCGGGACTCGAACCCAGTTCCGTTCACTTCAAATGTCATCGCGTTATCTATTTAGGTGCCGAATTCCAGAATGAACATCAACTCTGAGATCCAGGTGCATCCGACTGACGAGTCCGGAGTAGGACGAAACGTGCGTTCTGGATTCCACTGCTATCCACTATCCATCTTTGCTTATAATGCTTGTACAGTAAGGTAATATCGAGGCGATCCGCGCAGTATGCATATATGTCAATAAGAGATAGACTGATCAATTGCGGTGCTGAAAATCAATGGGAAGATTCAAGTAAAACAATACCAAGTGAATTAAATTTCACCCGATTGCAAAAGCAAACGGCTATCAGGACTCAGTAGGTAAGTGGATAACGTGATGGCGTTTTAAGTGAACAGTACTGGGTTCGAGTCCTAGGAAAGATTTGAATTAATTGGAAAGAAAAATTTTTCTATTCACTTTTGTATTGGTTGTTTGAATCTTCCCATTGATGTTTAAAACTGCAACGAATCATTCTCTTATTGACATATGGGTATCGTGTGCGAATTGTCTCGATATTGCTTTATTCAGTAGCTAAGTAGATAACGCGATAGCGTTTAGAAGTGTCCCACAATAGAACGAAACGGCCGTCCAGTGCTTCCAAGTTTTCCATGATGGTCTAGCTTCAATTGACTCATGATCTCAACCATTGGAATTACTATAATATCCACGAAAACCCTTCTGATATAAATAATAGTATTCTGTAAATCAGTTCCAAGAGTTATACTGTCTTCAATATTCTACCGGCCATGTCATTATCATTATATATGAAGATTACTAATGACTAGAATTTTTCTTACATTTATGTATAGGTAGTGATTTTTGATAATTGGAAGTAGTTTGTGGAAAACCCTCCGCCTGTTTCGAATTATCTGACATTTTAATGTAGGGTACATGATATTGAGTAACTTATAACAAAGGTCAATATATTATAACCTGATTTATAGGATTCAATCAGGATTAAAGGACTAAATAAACACGTCATTAGCTGCTACTCAGTGATTAACCAATTGCAAATATATCTTAGCCCTACAGAAAGTTAGTCTCTGCCCAAATAGATCGGCAATAAAATCTCTGATTGTGAAGCTGGGTAACACGAGGTCAAGTCCTCCAAGGCTTATCAGTTTCCTTGAGTTTAGAAACACACCTTGGTGGTGAGTGTCGAATAGCACGAAACTTAGATCTTGATTTTGCAGTCGACTAACTCCAACGACTATCTTACATATTAACGTACTACACTCAATATCGAGTCACTTAGACTAGTAGCCATATTGCAACTTAATCGATAGAATTCAATAAGCACTAAAGGATTAGATAGAAGTGAAATTGGTCACTACTTAATAGTCGACTAACTGTCTAATTAATGATTGAATATTGATCGGTAAAGTTAAATTGTGTTCATTTATGATTTATGAATGAGTGGAAGATATTTTGGATTTCATAATTAGTAGTTCTATGAATATCATTTCAAGGGATATAAATCACTTTAGAATATGACTTTCAATTGAAGACTGTATTTTATATTTTGAAACTAACTAGTTCTGTGTAAAGCACTCGAATGGTAGGACCTTTCTAAGTCGCAAATAAGAAGACAGAAGACAAGTGAAAAGAATGCTATTCCAAAACAGTGTCAATTATGGTACAAAACTGTCAGATATTTATAGTTTTTTTAGTAAGAGTGAAATGATTATTATAGTCCTCCAATCAGCATACAGGAGGTTATTAGCATTGATCCAATAGAGAAGCTATACCTGGGGATTGTGGAATACTCTTCCAAAAGATGATTGGATGGAATATCTTCAGCTCTTTCTGAACTTTTTAGAGCTTCCTCGAGTTCACCCGTGGGTTGTCCTCATAGTATAGAATAATTGTAAAGGTGTCTTGCTAGCTTCTTACTTTTTTACAGTTTCACTCCCTCCATGTCTGAAATGTATAAAGATGCATTTGATTATATTGACAAACTTTAACTATGTGGAAACATTGGAATTCTCTTGAAATTTTATTTATTTATTAAAACACATAAACATTGGTACAAGGAGGCATCAATCACATATGCGTCACATAAATCATTCGATTTGTGTGAGGGCTGGGATACTGCTCGGGTACCAAAACCGAATCAGGTGGTTTTCCTAGGGGGCCACACCCGGAGCCTCTGACCTAAAGGTCTAACCCACAAGGCATTGAAGCAACGTTAGGAGATGCAGTCCCATGGTATCTGGTGATCAACGATAGGTTCATACTCCATTTGTTCCTTCAGGATTCTGGAGTTCATGCACACCATTGGTTTGAAATGAAGGTTTTCCCACTCCCCCAGGTGGATTTTCCGTGTCCACCAACTAGACTAAAGCTCCAGATATTCAGTTTTCGTCCTCTCAATTTCGTAAACAACACTCTTGATGCGAGAAGGTAGTGAGTAGGGCATCACTGACAGTGGTTGTATGCACATGCCATGTGAGAACATTTCAAGAAGAAGATCTGACTATCCGTACTCTCGGCCGTATCAAAGAATTTGGGGCGCATCATTGTCTATGGAAAGAGGATCAATGAATTGTCAATATTACTTCAATGATCATTCATACAAAGAATGTAGAATTAATCAATCTAAAAGGGTATCTTTTGAATATTTTACAATGTATTATTGTCATTTTAGTAAGTATTCAGTTATATCATCATTCCATTATCACTTATTATTATTATAGGAATTAAATTGTACATGTCGTATTATGCATCAACGTGTTATGGAATTTTTAAGTCAAGTATCCGATGAAGAAGTAATTAATAATTTAATTCAAGTTAATGATCATTTAACAAATACACTTTTACGGTTAGTTTATATATATATATATAAATGTAATTATTACGTAACTTATTCATTCATTGAGTATTATGTTATTAGTGTTGAACCCCTTTTTTCCGGTAAGCATTTTTTTTGTTTAGCGAGTTAGTTTTCTACGGGATGGGGCCCATTAACCTTCATGCCCAACCACCCTCTATTATTCGGGCTTGGGACCGGGAATAACACCAGAGGGGGTCGAGTTAGGACTGTTTACTTTCACCCTTTCTCTTATTATATAAATATTACGCAACATCTTCATCTACTGAGATGGTTGGGCCACGTGTTATGTATGACTGAGCAACGACGTGCAATGCTAACCGGTGTTGGAGATGGTTGGAAGAAAGTTAGGGGCGGCCAAACCAAAACGTGGCATCAGTGCTTGAAGTCACTAACTTCTAGTCTGAGCCATATTGGTAGATGCAGACTAATTGGTTGGTGTCCGCGTGACTATCGTAACCAATGGTTGGAGACCATTGGTGACATGGGTCAGAATCGATCACAATGGTGTAGGTGTATACACTCTTTATCTTCCCTTAAACTATGAGATTAAAATCACTTCATATCTTTCTTTCTACGAACTAATTCTTTCTTCCTGTACTATATGCTTGTTGCAATCTTTCTTTTATATATTACCACCTCTGAATTAACTACTTTTATGAATCCGGTGTTCATTTTGTTGTGTTAATGTGGTATGGCAACTTGGACCGATGCATATATGTGCCTGGTCCTTCGTTGTAGCTGACTGACTGACTGACTACGCAACATGTCCACTCGATGAGTATTATTTCATTATTGCGAATAATATATATATATATATATATATATATATATATATATATATATATATATATATATATATATATATATATATATATATATATATATTAGTGTAGAGCCAGAAGAACCCTTCCACTATGTGGGCACTTAAGACTGAATTGAATATAAATTTTTTCGCTCGATTAGTTTATATTTATCGTATGTTTAATTTTACTAAATATTTTCATATTAGTATTATATACATTATAGTGTGTTATATTGAATGAATAAGAACGCTGTTGTATGATATATCCATTTATCTATTAATTCACTCATATTGATAATAGGACCGATAACATTCTATGTATCAGTCCCCTCCCCAAATGATCTGGTACGGCTGAAGGTGAGGAGAGTTAGCCATTCCTCTCGAAATGCTCTTACATAGATACGTGTATACAGCCACTACTAGTGAAATCCTACTCACTGCCTTATCGTGTTGTTTACGAAATTATGAGGACGAAAAGCGAATGTCTGGTGCTTTAATCGGGGTTGGTGGATGTGTAGGATCCACCTAGGGAACCTGGAAAACCCTCATTTCAAACCAATGGTGTACATGGGCTCCAGGATTCTGAAGGAACAAATAGAGTATGAACCAATCGTTGGTTACCAGCTGCCATGGGACTGCATCTCCTGATGTTGCTCCGCTGCCTTGTGGATTAGACCTTTGGGTCAAAGGCTGAGGGTGTGACTCTCTGAGAAAACCACGTGGTTCGGTCTGGACACCCGGTCAGTATCACAGCCCTCACACAAACCAAGTGAGTTGTGTGGCGCGTATGTATTCGGTGCACCTTTGTACCAATATTTGTGTGTTCAAATAAATAAAATACATAATAATAAATTCTATGTATCAACTGACATATCGACCAATGAATCACACTCAGGAAATAGACTCTTCTTTATCCTGGAGTTCCTTCTAACCCATTGGTCAGTCAAGCAAAAAAAAGTAGAAAGCAGATCAGTTCTTCATCATGCTCAATTCAATTATGACTCAAGATTAACAACAATATACTTGAAATATCTGGTCACATAACAACACGTTTAGACAATTATAGTCAGTACATAACTTAGTCATATGTGATACAAAACCAAATTAATAGGGAGATTAATTATTAATCAATGTGAGATTGTGAAGATTGTTAAATTTCATTGAGTTCATGAACTAATAAGAACCTGGAAGCACTGGATTCTCGTTTCACCCTAATATGAGACTCTTCAACAGTGCGCATTAATCAGTAACAAAACTCGAATAATAAGAAATATGACAAAGACTTTTAAGTCAAACGAAAGTTTAGAAATAGGAGAATATAAAGTACAACAGTCCAAGCATTCTTCATATCTCGGTTTCCACATCAATTCTCCTCCCCCTCTCATTATATCACTTTGTTGATAGATTTCAACCAACTTTAAGTGAGTAGACAAACTATGAAATCGATGTGGGAATATCCCATATCCTATTAAACCGGATCATTTGTGACTTGAATAATCTAGTCTAGTAATTTCTTCCATGATGAAACATCTGGATGATGTAGTTAGTCATTTATATCAGGTAGTATCAGTTCTCTCAACGTTTTACGTAAATGTCTATGACTTCGAACAAGCACCAAATCTTGGTTCATAATCTCTTGTCGACTACTTCGAACCACTGAACATTAAATGATCCAAGAGAATTTGTCAAATAGACAATATAATACTTGAAATGAATATATGTATTCATTCAAGTCATTGTACCTTACATTCATATTGGTTAAGAGAGAATTGAGAAAAAAATTGGACATGAAATGTCATGTTTTAAAAAAATATAATATGCAATCAAATAACGGAAAGCTGTTGTACTATTCATATTGAAGGGAAGTTGTGCAACATCATGAATTGACTATAGTTAGCAATATAGATCATTGGGTGCTAACTTATATGTCTACATGGCTTAGTGTTCATCATGGGTTCTGAAGGCTCATGGGTACAATTACCATTAGGGTCATGGATACTCATTCTAAAATATCAGAAACGGTTTTTCAAACACTTTTTTCTCTGTGTGTAAACGGAGATAAATCTTTTGTTGTTTCTATTCTTGATGATAAATAAGGTCTGATTCAATTGTCGTTTCGGTGAGAGGGGGGATTACAAAGTTTCTTGGAAATTGTTAAACTTTCCTAGTTAACATTACAGAATAATCTTAGTTACATACAAATCTTAAAGGTCAGGAAGCAGTGAGTAGCTGTTTCATCTAATTATAAGACTTCAGAAGTACATATGCACCAGAGATTGAATCTAGGATTTTTAGTCTTCAATACAAATGCCCAGTCTCTAGATAATTGAAAATACACTTGGTGTTGCTTTACTTGTATCTTCCCATTGTTGTTTAGGACTGTAATTGATCAGTCTCTTATTGGCATATGTGCATACTGTGTGGATTGCCTCGATATTGCCTTAGGTCACTAGCTTTATAAGCAAAGATGAACAGTGGTTAGCAGTGGAATCCAGTTTGACACGCGTATCGTCTTATTTGAGACTCATCATCTGAATGTACCTTCATTCCAGAGTTGATGTTCACTCCAAGATAATGCGATGGTGTTTGAATTGAACAGTACTGATGTGTTCGAATTCCATACTGAATATCAACTCTGTGATGCAGGTACATCCAACTGACGAAACACACATTCTAGATTCCACTACCTGCCATTATCCATCTTTACTTGATCATTGAAAATATTTCACATGATATGATAAATTGATTTAAATTGTAAATTTGTTTTCATTGAAATTTTCATATTTTCACTTCCTGTTTTGTTTATATGAAGATTTAAATGTTAATAAATTAAAACATGGAATAGTGTCATATAACTTAATTGTTTATAATACGATAGATTTTGAATCAACTTTTAATAAACACTACAGTTAAAAAAGGTTTGTCGTGAACGAAGACTCAAGTGGGAAAAACTACTTTATTGTTTTAATATACTTTCACATAGTAAAATTTCGAACTCACACATCAGATATCGTACATCTTCTTTGAATCGTCTTTTACAAGTTTCATTATCCCTTCATCCCTGTTGTTATCTTGATTACTTTCAGTTTCTTTCTCTCTTCTCTTCATTTCAATCTTTTTAAAATTTCTGATCGCAGACATTCTACATCCGACTGGTGTTATATACTACTTGTATCTGCATACATAAGTAGACTACATCATAGGTATACGTTACTTTCAATGAAAAAGTATAGTAGTATTCTCCTCCCCACTGGATTTTGCTATATGATATGTCTGCCCCCCAGATGCCCTGGTACGGCCGAGAATGCGGAGTGTCAGCTCTCTTTCTCAAATGCTCTCACATATACCACGTGCATACAACCACTGCTAGGAAAGTCCTACTCACTGCCTTCTCGCATCAAGGGTGTTGTTTACGAAATTGAAAGGATGAAAAGCGAATGTCCGGCGCTTTAACTGGGGGAGTCGGAAAACCCTCATCCCAAACCAATGGTGTACATGGGTTTCAGTATCCTGAAGGAACAAACGGCGTATTAACCTATTGTCGGTGACCGGCTACCATGGGACTGCATCTCCTGACGTCGCTTCACTACCTTGTGGATGGGACCTTTTGGTCGGAGGCTCCGGGTGTGGCCCTCTAAGAAAACCACGTGGTTCGGTTTGGGCATCAGGGCAGTGTTACAGCCCTCACACAAATCAAGTGTGTTGTGTGGTGCATATGTATTCGGTACCCCTTTGTATCATTATTTATGTGTTCCAATAAATAAGTATGACATGTCTGATAATGTCCTAAACAAGTGGGTTTTATGAGTTTTAGGAATTCACATATAAGGAATGAACAGTTGCTAGTCTTATTTTCCATTTCATGAAATCATATCATGACCGATTATCTGATTTTTTCATCCAGTCTCAGAATTGGCAAATAATGCCTAATATTGAATCCTTTTTGGAAAATTGTTATAAAATTACTTTTAAGGCATCACAAGTTGTATCACAGTATGAATATGTCTATAAAAGATTGCAACTTAATATGATAGGATGTATATTCTCAGCTTTGGTTTCATTTACACGGTATGACCATTGAATATAAACAACTTTTCATAGAAAATGATTACAATACACAATGAGTTGTAGGATATCCTCAACTCGATGAAATGAAGTTTCTAAAACCTAAAGTAGGACTTCTTACACGGATGTGTTTTATAATTGAACTAACCTCATGTTGACATCGAATATGACATCTAATGATCCAGACTGTTTTCATCAATTAGATTATCACATATACTTACACCATAAATCAAACAGACGAACTTCTTGTCTATTTTCAAAATGTCACATATGAAAGAGTACGGTATGTGTACAATCTTATCCTAATCCGAGTAATTTACAGTTTGACGACAGAAATCACATGCCATACTTGTCAATTCTGATCACTCATGAATCTCACACAATTCGAACAGTTTATATTTCATTATACGGTATGAATATTATTTTAGTAGTGAGTCTAGACAAGGGTTGGATGTAGAATGCTGATGATCGGCCTATGCTCCTTCACGTGGAGTAACAGGCGTAAGTAAGTAACAAGAGTCTAGACCAGCACTGATTTGTTCACTGCGTAAACATGTTTATTCGTAACAATTTGTATTATCCTTTTAATGTTTAGAGATAGTTACTGAATTCATGACAACCCGGAAATCTAGGTATCACCATTTGAAGATTCCAAAAATAGAACCGTTCTTTATTGTTAAGTATGTATATCTATGCGTAGACTGAAACATTTAATACTCTTCACATGAATAATGATGATACTCATTACCATTCAACTGATGTATTCCTCTCTCTTTCTCATTTTCTTCAGAGTCTATTTATATAATTCAACCTCTTTCTTTTTGATATTGTTGTGTGTTATAACAATAACAGAATCGATTGTTGATTGACCATTCTTTTGTTCTAATATAAAAATTCATACTTCTACGAGTCATTTCTTTCTTATATGATTTATGAACAATTCAATTATGGTTATACTTCTCTCTCTCTGTGTCTTTCTCTCTTTCCACTCCTCCCTTTATAATCATGTCTTATTATTTACTGGATAGTTATTGTTTATTATAATTTGCCACAATTATTATTGTTAGTGTTTTTACTGTTATTCTTCTCTTCGTCATTATTTGTTTATTCCTTTGAGAGATCATACTAATCTGCAGTTCCCCTTTCTATCTATCTGACACTCATACACACACACACGCCTAGAGACAGGATTTCTTTCTCGTTCTTATTACAACTCGTAAATTATATCATGTAAATAGATTGGTTTCCGTGTTATTTCATTTTGTTTTGAGATCGATTCATATGTTACATATCATACATACTACTAACTACGTCTAATCATTTATTCATTTTTATATTATTATTCATTGAATCCCCATTTCTTTTCTCCCTCTCTCTCTCTCTCTCTCTTCCTCTATCGTATACCATTTTATGTTTCCTATTGTATTTTTTGATTCTATTGACTGCTTTGAATGTTTTTTTTTGTAGATGCCTTGGTTTCGATTGAAAGCTTTTTTGTTTTGTTTTGTTTTTTACTACTGTGACTTGTATCTAATACATTCATAGACAGATAAAGATGAATTAATATTGTCCTATTGTAAATCATCATCATTTTTCATTTTCAAGTTCCATCATTTTTTTATCCAGGGTATTGTGGATACTATGATAATTTCAATATCAATGGTTAAGATTTTGAGTCAGTTGAAGTTAGACCACTATGGGAAACCTGAAAGCACCGGACGGCCGTTTCGTCCCATTGTGGGATTCCTCAGCAGTGCGCATCCACGACCTCGACCCCTGCGAGATTCGAATCCAGGACCTACTGGTTTCGCGCGCGAGCACTTAACCACTAAACCACTGAGCCGGCATCCAACGGTGTTAAAGGTCTAACTTCAACTAATCCACGAAATTGAGCGACACATTCACCATTGTCTTCAGTGAGTTACTATCTCACAGCAGATCCAGTTGAACTCCACTGGTCACTGCTTCGGACTAGAACTCCAGGAAATATCTCATGAAGCCAGTTCGTAGTGAGCATATGTTGATTAGTATTAGAAGGGGTTTTGTGGATATCATAGCAATTTTAGTAGTTGAGAAAATGTATTCAAAACCTTTTAGGAGAAAAATTACAAAAGAAAATAATTTTGACCAAGTTATACATAGACATCATCATCACTGAACAGCGAATGTGATGATTTCTTAGAAATTGCCCAGCGAATAATCATATATTGAATGTTGGACATATACTATTGAAGAATTTTGTTTTAATATGTACATAGCGAACTTGTTGATCATTGAATGAGAGATATGTTTGAACGAAACAACTTAATGTCTTGTTGTTCAGTTCCTAATTGATTTGTTTGTTGAATTGTTGTCATTGTTTGATGGTATCAAAAGTAATATGTCTTGTATTGATACATAGTTTTTAATCTGAGATTGGTTTAGTTGTGTGGACTTGAGATTGTCTAGACTAATTCACGCGAGGCCGCAGGTCCTGGGTTCGAGTCTCGCGTGCGGTCTTCTGGGAGTCCTATACTATGACGAAATAACCGTCTAGTGCTTCCAGATTTTCACTGGTTGTTTAGCTTAAATCGACTCGTGAATTCAACTGTGAAGACACTACCATCTCCATGCTGATGTGTTTTCTTGAGATTATTACTTTTAGTTACTACTTATGGCTTATTTTAAGTAGTATTTATTATGGTTGCTTGCTCTCTCTCTCTCTCTTTCCATCTATATTTATTCTTGCCATAGATATGCTCGTGTATATCCATATCATCTAACTAATAAAAAGCTTATCTATTCAGGGTATTCACGTGTTATATATTCCCAGTCATGCATTATACATATACGAAATCATGACTAGCACAGTAGTAATTTAGTGGGATGACTAAATGAAATGACTAAATATCAGTCTATAAAGTTAATGACTATCGATCGGTAATAAATAAAATGTCCTCTTAATTAGTAAACCATTTGGTAATTATTGAATTAGTGATCTTTGAGGATATGATTCAAATTGATTATATTATGATGTGCAAATACACTCATCGTTTTGAGATGGTGGAGATTTGTAGCTCAGGTGGATGATTTTAATGGAGTTTTGTTCTTTGAACTAGAAGGTTTGGTCGTGGAGCGCTCATCGTTCTTCTGAACGACATCATCAGCACAAACTTCAGGTAGAAGTGAAGTGTTCGAATTTCTCCACACGTGGTTCACAGCTCATCCTGTTGATTGGTCTTTGTTGACCTTAAACCTGTCATTGTTTACTTCCTTGTTTTGGTTGTATCTCCCGTTGCACAAACATAGCAGCAAAAATCAAAGCAATGGCAGATACAACCAAATTCGGACACTTCACTTCTACCTGACTTTTGTGCCGATAATGTCATTCAGAAGAACGATGATAGCTCCACGAACAAACCATCCACCTCAGTGAACAAAACTCCATCACACTCATTGCTTAGTTATTTCCTCTAATTCTTCATTTAACACTGTTTGAATGATTGAGATTAGGCAAAATCTTAACCAGTAACTTAATATCTGTTACTTTATCTGATCATTTTTAACCATTTACAGTTACGATCGTTTTGAACGATATTATCAACGTGCAATACAGAATTCCGATAATAATAATTCTTCTAACAATCAACAAATGGATTCTGCATTATGTTTAACGAATTCTAGACCACAATTATGTTTAACTGCTTCATCAAGTGACCATATTGATTCAAGCCGTCATCGATCAAATCATCATCATCATTATCCGCAGCAGCAACACCACCACCAACAACAACAATTAGCAATTACAGCTGGACCATCATCTCTACGTCGTACAACTCTAAATGAGTCTACAGTGAATGGAGTTGTTAGTAGTCGAATGAAAAGTTTACACTATAATCATGCAGATTCAGGTAACGGTAGTAGTACTGCTGTTTCAACCACCAGCAATCACCATAATAATAACGAGGATGAAGATGACGATGAAAGCTTGTTGGATATAAGTGAAGGTCCCCATGGTGGTGTAAGTAACCTCTACTTTACATTCTCAACTAACCTTATTGTTTAGATAGAATTGTTACATTTAAAAAGTATTTGATTAAAGAAATGTTTTTTTTTGTTTTTGATAGTTTAAGTCAAAAACTGATTTTATTTGAACAACTATTGGTAACTAAAGAAGCATTGAACAGGTGTTTCGTCATATTAGAGAACTCTTCAGTGCACATCCATTACCCTAATAGGGATTGGACCCATCATCTTAAGATCATATGATGAGTGTTTAGATTTTAGACTATTGAGCAGGTATCCAATCGTTTATCTAATTAAAAATAAAATGTCAAACCTTCTAACTGAACGCTTGAACTGGTTTCCTAAGTTATTCTATAACCCCAGGCTAACTCATCGTACACAACAACTTGAACACAAGAGAAAAGGCGTGAAAGGTGGAAAGAACGGTTTATTCCAAGGTTGGTTTATGAACAGAAAATTGAGGATATTTCGGAAGGCCTTAGACTTCTGTAATGTTGTGAAATGACAGTTATTTTTATTTCAACGACATTAGTGTTCGCCTTAACAGTGAAATTCTTCGTCACAATATTTCAAATTGTGTCAATGATCGAGTGTAAACTTTTATACCTTCCAAAGATGGATAGTGGTTAACGGTGGAATCTAGAACGCGCATTACTTCCTATTTAAAACTCGTCAGTTGGATGTACCTGCATTGCAGAGTTGATGTTCATTCCGGTACTCGAACCCAGTACTGTTCAATTCAAACGCCATCGCGTTGTCCAATCAGGTATTGAGTCCTAGTGGCCAACTACTTGTGCAATGGGGTCTCAAATAGGACGAAATGCGCCTCCTGGATTTCACTGCTAACCACTGTTCATCTTTGCTTATAAAGCTTGTGAATTAAGGCAATATCGAGGCAATACGCACAGGATGCACATATACCAATAATAGACTGATCAATTACAGTCCTAAACAACAATGGGAAGATACAAGCAAATAATAACAAATGTATTTAAAACATCACCCCATTGCACAAGCAGGTGTCTATCAGGACTCAGTAGGTAAGTGGATAACGCGGTGGCGTTTGAAGTGAGCGGTACTTTGATAGTCCCAGGTATAAATATCATTCATTAAAAATTTTAAATGAAAACCGATAGAATATTAATCGTACATCTTATACATCAACATGATGTAAAATATATCTATTTTTCATTTTATCCTTTTCTCTAGTCTACAACTAGATCTCATGATTCTGATGAAACTGATGAAATTGCTAAGTGGTTATCTAGTCGACAATTGATACCTGTAAACTCACAGCAACAATCACAACACAGTCATCGTCCTTTTCAACACCAACAACAGTCATTGACTACAAACAGTCGTTCACATTCATGTGTACGAACAAATCATTTAAGTGCTATTACAAACACTACTACTACTACCACTACTGCTGGTGTTTCTTTATATGCAACACAGAATCCATCAAATAAATCCGTTCATGTAAGTGTAAACTCCTTCCAAAGCTATAATTCCATTTATAAGCGGTCTGCTTCGAAGATTGACTTCTGTTGAAGTACAATTGAAAACCTTAGAAGATTGGACAAGTATTTTTTACTCCTAGTATGAGATTATAATTATGGTGCTCATTATTGACTTACTTCAAAACTAACTCTCTAAGTTATGATAGGAAATCTTGCCCGATAGAGTTCAGACATATCAGCGATGAAGCAGTCGTCACTAGGGGATTCTGATAATCGTCGAACTATATCTCAAATTGATTAGATTTGAAAATGTGCCACTAGTTGTCTAACGGTTTGTAAGATCTGAAGATTGTGGGCTCGATTTCCTAATGAAATCATGTATCCATTTAACCGAAAAGTTCAATTATTGTTTATTGCTCCTTGTTTTCCATTAGTACCCCAACTGATATTAGTTAGTTAATTAAACTGATCTCCATTTAAAATCTCATCAGGAAATCTTACGATATTGTTTGCTTACGTTCAAGTGGTTTTTTCAGGGAGCCACACCTCGAGCCTTTGACCTATAGGTCTCATTCACAAGGCAGTGGAGCAACGTTAGGAGATACAGTCCCATGGAAACCGATGACCAACAATAAGTTCATACGCCATTTGTTCCCTCAGAATCCTGGACGCGATATACACCATTGGTTTGGAATCAGGGTTTTGGACTCCTCTAGATGGATCCTCTATATCTACCAACCCGGTTAAAGTGCCGCAGATTCGTTTTTCTTCCTCTCAATTTTTTAAAAATACCCCAGAGGCGAGAAATCAGTGAGTAGGATTTTCCTGGCAGTGGCTTCATGTAGCCAGGTGGATCTTTGTGGCCTTCACACGCTACTTAAACTCAAATATTCGATATATAGTGGGATGACTATATCATCAATGTTAAGGTTAGGCAATAAGTACTTAGAAAAGGTGATAATTCACAGAAGTAAGTTGGAAGAAAGCTACTGATCACCTGATTTTTGTTCGTGTGATAACCACGATCAGTGTTTGATAACTTTATGTGACATGGCTCAGAATCATTTCCAGTGACGCAGATGCATTCATTCTTAACATCCTCTCGATCTTGAATTTCAATATTTTTTCATACATACCTTTCTACTCTATCCTTTTAAACCAGATTCCCAAATTTTAGCCTTTCTTTTATTATCACATTATTTCGATCTCTCTTGTCATTTCCACCTCGTCGTGCTAATCAGTTACGACAACTTAAAACAACACACATCCGTACCAGACTTTATGTTGATGATATGTGTGTGTCTTTGTCAGAAATTGATAGGTGTAGACTACCTGGTTGGGATCCGTGAGACGATAGCAACCGATGGTTAGAGACCTTGAATGTGATATGACTCAAAATCGTTTTCAATGGCGTAGGTGCATCCAATCTTTGTGTTCTCCCAAATTCCAATCTTCTTCCAATCTTACTCTTACTACCTCTACCACTACGGAATTTTAGTCGACAACTGCATCTCTGTGCTAATGTGGTATGGCAACTCGAACTGTTGTACGTACGTACGTACGTACATACGAATTTCTATGTTGTTGCTAACTGACTGAATAAATGAAATTTTTGAACGTATATTGCCTTTTAGTTAAAATTCAAATTAATCAACATAAAGTAGGAAAACGTCATTAAAACTAGAGAAAATTATTGAATATTTTATAATTTTCTCTTTTTTTCTTTCTATTGACTGTTTACTATGTAGATGTTAAGTTTATTTTTCCGTTTTTGTTTTTACCTTCTTTTTTTTTAATTTTTCAGTCTCATCAATCTTTTCATGAATTGTTGTAGTCACAAGTAAGAAAAAGCATCAACATTATCGTGGTTTATTTATTTATTTCAACACATAAACATTGGTATTTAATTGTGTCATAGACATGACTTTGGAGATAACATTTCTCGGTTCGTTGTTGTTAGCTTGACGTGGTGGTTGGACTTGCCTATTGTGATGAACCAGTCGATCTCTACTAGCTGCAACAATCGTTCCTCAAAGTTCTATCATACCAGACAGGTCGGTTGAAAAGCGGTAAGACTAAAAGCAACAAACCTAAGGTCCGAAGACGAAGTTGTACTGCTTACTGTACGGAGTTATGATGGCAGTAAGGTGTTTCCTTCAGACAATCAACATAACAGCGATGTTTCCTTCCCACAAGAAGGGGTTGGGTTAGAAAAGGTAGACCCTAAAACCGAACACCTCCCCTTATCCCACGGATATCCGTCTCGGGCGGTGAGGTTTCAACATGTAGGGAGCTAACATGGAAATTAATCATAAAAAGGTCGTGTGTGACCGATCACAAGCAGTTGTCCCTTGAGCACTGCGGTCACGCTCTCAGGTCACTAAGACCATCTCTAATTCATTTTCGTTTTCAGGTACCTGCAGAAGTAGATATCATTTTGATCGTCAAACACTTCAGAGATTGATTCTCTACCAGGAGATTTACTTGTTGATCTAGAATTGTCAGATGATATAGTTCTGTTTAGTGAAAACTTTGACAAAATACAGTCTTATGATGACATTTAACAACTATGCAAGGATATTTAGGATGCTGTTCTCTCCCCCCAAATGTAAAATGTTACTTCACAATTGTTTTGCGTCATTGCCTGAAATAATGATACGAAACTAAGTAGTTGAACGCACCGCCTTCTTCACGTACCTTGTTAATCCTGATGGCCTGGTATCTGATGAAATCTCAGCATGGATTCCGAAGGCTTGATTGGCTTTTGCTGACTTACGTCAATTCTAGTTTAGGAGAGATATTCGTCTTCTAACCAAAAGGGCGAGTCTACTGCACAGCAGTTCGCTCCATCCTACTTTACGGATATTAAAAATGTCCATCAAGAATAGAGGATATTCGTAGGCTACTTTTATTCGATCAAAGGTGTCTTCGAAGAACTGCCGGTATATTTTGGGACTATGGATTAATCAGAGCTTGGGTTAGGAATGACGTACTGAGCAAGGATGTGAATTCGGATGATGATGTAGTAAATCTTCAACTGAGTTGGCTAAGATATGTGCTACGTATGTCCACTCAACGCCTACCTCGTTGGGCGATGTTTCCTGGTGTAGGAGTAAGCTGAAAGAAATCTAGGGGCTGCTTAACCAAAACATGGCATCAGTCCATGAAGTCACTACCTGGTTGGGGTTCGCGTGCTTATCGTAACCAATAGTTCAAGTTTTTCAATGGTGTTTCTAAACTCCTCATCACTTCTTTTTTGTTTTTATTTACTAAATTATATTTTCTTTTCCAGTCGTATCTTCGATGTCTAATCCTTACTGTTATCACTGATATTGTTAATACCTCTACTATACTGGGATTTAGTGTGACAACTTCATCTCTGTATTAATAATTGGGTATGGCAACCTGAATCGATTTCCATACCTAACAGATTCTAAGTTATGGCTGACTGAGTATACCATGTCTTCAACTATTCACCACAATAATCATGTGTACTTCAATTAAACAATCTCAAATGTATTATAAGCAAAGTTGGATAGTGGTTAGTAGTGGAATCAAGGACGCGTGTTTCGTCCTATTTGAGATTCGTCAGCTGGATGTACCTGCATCTCAAAGTTCATGTTCATTCTAGGACTCGAGCCCAGTTCCACTGCTAGCCACTATCCATCTTTGCTCATTATGTTTGTGAATTAAAGCAATATCGAGACAGTTCGCACAGAATGCACATATGTCAATAAGAGATTGATCAGTTCAAGTCCTAAATAACATTGAGAAGATTCAAGTAAACAATATCATGTGAATTTAAACGTCACCTTATTGCGAAATCAGGGGGCTGTCAGGACTCAGTAGCTAAGTAAATGACACGATGGCATTTGTAACGAACGGTACTGAGTTCGAGTTCCAGAATGAACATCAACTCTAGAATGCAGGTATATTCAGCTGGCGAGTCCCAAATAGGGACGATTGATTTATATAAATTATTTATTTATTTATTTTAACACATAGATATTGGTACAAGGAGGCACCAAATACATATGTGACACACAAATCTCATTTGATATGTGTGAGGGCTATGATACTGCCCGGATGCCCAGACCGAAGCATGTGGTTTTCTTAGGGGGCCACACCCCGAGCCTTTGACCTGAAGGTCTGATCCACAAGGCAGTGGAGCATCGTAAGGAGATGCAGTCTCATGGAAGCTGGTGACCAACAATTAGTTCATTCGCCATTCGTTCCCGCAGGATACTGGAGCCCATGTGCACCATTGATTTGGTTTGGGATCCGGTTAAAGCGCCGGACATTCTCTTTTCGTCCTCTCATTTTCGTAAACAACACCTTTGATGAGAGAAGGCAGTGAGTGGGACTTCCCTGGCAGAGGTTATATACGTGTGGCCATGTGAGAGCATTTGGAGAGGGAGAGCGGACTCTCCTCACTCTCAGCCGTACCAAGGCATTTGGGGGCGATTGATATAAATAATCATTTGACATTATTTTATGATTATTTTGTTTAAATGAATTAATTCTATACAGAATTATAATTCAATTTCAATATTCAATCAAGTCTTATGATGTCAATGAACACTTACAGTTTTGCTATGTTCATTGAAATTACGTAATCATTTACAATATTATAGATCGTTGAAAGCATGTAACCCAATAGAGTAAAGAAGTAGAAGAAGAAGAAGAAGCAGAGAAAGAAGAAAATAGAAGTAATATATTTCATAGAGAATAATTCATTGAATAAATCTCCTGTTTCATATATATACACGTTCACTATTCTATTATTTCCTACTTTACATTAGAACTGATGAATACTGATTATTATGATTATTATTATTACCATTATTATTATTATTGCGTAATATACATATATGTATAACTTAATGTTTTTCAATAATAATCTATTTTGTTTTTCTAAAAGAGGAAACAATCAAATCATATTGTTTACTTCCTTTTGATGTATTTCATCATTCATGACTTCATTTTTGTTGCATTTTTACAAGATTGTTTCTTCTTTTTTTTAATTTTTATTTCATAGATTAAAATGATTATATATATATATATATATATTGGAGAGTTTTGAGCTACATTTCCCCCCTTTTCTATGTCTCTGTGTATGTTTCTTTTGTGTATGAGTGCGTATGTGTGCATATGCGCTACATTTTCTCCCTTTTCTATGTCTTAAAGTGTGTATGTTTCTTCTGCGTATGAGTGCGTATGTGTGTGTTTGCATGTGCGTGTGTGAGTGAGTAAGTGTTTATCGTCGGGTAGTTCTTTTGTTTTTCTTTCTCTTTTTCCCTTTTTTTTCCGTTTATCAAATTGTAATTTATTAAGTGAGTAAATTATTGTCAAGGTGATTCCATTAAACTAAATTGTCTCTGTATATTATTAATTATCATATATAAATATATATATATTTATTTATTCTTCATTTTAGTGAATAGAAGAAATCTGGTAAATCACTCATTAGTTATATGGTTTTCTGTGTTTGTTTGTTTGTTTCTCTTCCTTTTTTCTTCTTCATTGTATGTGTTTTCAGTTTCATTCGTTTATTAATGTGTATAAATGAATGATCGGTTCACACTTTGTTCTTGATCTCGATCTCATATTATTCAAATTGACCATTGAATATGTTATTTTTTATGATCTTGTTTTGAGTTTATCGACATGAATCTAATCTATCTATCTATAACTATATATATCTTTATGTAACATGAATGATCTGTTATCAAGTTATTTAATATTACCTTTTGAATTGATTGAGATTTAACATAGATAGACAAATGGGATAGATAAAGAGATGAATAAATATACTTACTTACTTACTTACTTACTTACGCCTGTTACTCCTCGTGGAAGAGCATGAGCCGCCCACTGGCACTCGACAACCAAACCTGTCCTGGGCAATCCTTTCTAGTTCTTTCCAGATGTTATTCATCCTTTTCATATCTGCTTCCATTTCTCGACTTGGTATGTTTTTCGGTCTTCCTCTTTTCCATTTCCTTTCAGGATTCCAAGTTAAGGCTTGCCTCGTGATGCAGTAATGTATGTCCTATCCACTTTTAACGTCTTTTCCTAATTTCCTCTTCAGCTGGAATCTGGTTTGTTCTGTCCCACAGAATGGTGTTGTTGATGGTATCCGGCCAATCGATGTTGAGTATCTTGCGTAGACAACTATTTATAAATAGTTGTACCTTTTTGATGATGATTTTAGTCGTTCTCCAAGTTTCAGCTCCGTTCAGTGGAACTGACTTGACGTTCGTATTGACAATTCTTACTTTGATGTTGGTTGACAGTTGTTTTGAGTTCCATATGTTCTTCAATTGTAGGAATGCGGGTCTTTATTTGTCAATCCTCGCCTTTATTTCTGCATCTGATCCTACTTTTTCATCAATGATGATTTCCAAGTACGTGAATGATTTGAAATCTTCCAGAGTTTTGCCATCAAGTGTTAATGGGTTGATATTCTCTGTATTGCATTTAAGGATCTTGCTCCGCCTGTAGGTCTTCTAGATTTACTACCGGTTCCAAGCCCGAGTAAAAAAGGAGGGTTGGTCATGGGGTTAACGATCCCAACCGGTAGAAAACTAACTCGCTAAAAAACACTAACCAGAAAAAATAATTCGAACCACTAAATATACTACTTAATTAAATTATTTTCCGAATATATTTTTTTCTTAAAAAAACAAACAAGTATAAAGATTGAATGTATATTGATTGGTCAATGTCATATTGGCTTCATAAGTTAATAATGACCGAATATTAACAAACAAGTCGTAATGTTGTTACTAGTATTCGAACAATGAAAGTATACTATCTTGACAACTTTAGAGAGGAGGCTGAGAAACAGAGGGGATTCATCAGCTAATCAAGAAACATTGTTTAATTATAAAAGAATGAAATGTATAAAGTAATAAAGTTACAATGGACTTATGATTTTCATAATGATCAACTAACTATTACATGTATAGGGGTTGTGGAGATTATTAAGTTTTTGATTGAGATCATGAACCGGTTGATGTTAGACCATCACAATTGAAAACTTGGAAGCACTGGACGGCCGTTTCGTCCTATTGTGGGACTCCTCAGCAGTGCGCATCCAGTAACTATTACATGTTAAACTATTCATTTTAGTAAAGGAAAAAAGGTTGTGTTTATGTATTATGAGTTGACATGGCTGACAAAGAAATGTTCCGGTTAGGTAATAAAAGTTAAGCTTCAAAGTTATGAGTTCGAGCGACGAATTATGAACGAATATCTGTGATGATGCTTGTCATCCTTTTGTTTACAGAATTTACATACTTAGGATTTAGATTCAGAGTCAGTAGTTAGAGTCATACAGTTTTATCTGATTACACCAACACTCTTGACTATGCATTGGATCATATTAAGTGTGCTCATACATAAGTTGCATTAGGAGTAGGTAATTTAGCTTAACTCCCGTATTATATTCTCATGTTGGTTCCATAGTAAACATCTTTCTCAGCTTTAATGATTTTAGAAACCAAATACTGACATTTTTATTTTGCTTCATGATAACATACAGGCTAACTCATATTCCTCTTTTAATTTTGTGCAAAACTCCATGAGGCACTATCCCATTCCTGAAAGACCTAGTCAAGGACAACACCATAGTATACTGTTACTGTCCAATTAACTTTATATCATGTTCACTATATTGAAATGCTAGTTGTCTGGAACTAGTTAACGGGAAATTCTGCTCAACCTGAGTTTTGTGTTAATTGGCACTTGTCAGAAAGGTGTACCTGCAATTTGGAGTAGACTGATTTTTCTTACAATTTTAAGTGATTTAAATTAGTGGTTGCACTGCTACTTGTTCGGTAGAATTCAGTCCACACTAAAAGAGTTCATAAGTATGACTCTGGTCACTTATCAGTGATCAATCGACTGCAAATATCGTAATCCTCTAGAAACACGATTCCATGGACGAATGAACTGTATAGTTAGAGCTATTGAAGTTCAATTTTTATAAGGTTCATCATTTTCGCCAAAATTCCTGGGATGCGTTGTTGACGAATACCAACTAGCACGAAACTCAACTTGAGTAGAATTTGTTGCCAACTGCTTACTTCTAACTACTGAACGTATATAAAAAACCTTATTTCACAAATATTCAGTATATTTCGATTTGAATAGCTAAAAGGTTTTTGAAATAGTTTAATACATACAATTCGCACAACACGTACATATGCCAACAATACTGATCCAAATCCAGTCTTTTTTATTAACGATTGGCTGATTTGAACTGTTGCTAATAATGATATGAATATCATAAAGCATGCTATGGCGTTTGAACCGTAAGGTATTGGACTTGCGTTCCGAATTATGAACATCAACACTGGAATGTAATTACATCCAGGTGACAAGTCTCAAGTTGGACGAAAGTTGTTAGCTACAATCCATTTACATAAATGTTTGTTCATTAGTAAATGACTTTGAGTTTGGTTCTCTAGTTCTATTATAAGGTTGCCATTGGTGAAATTCAGTAATCCGGAGTGACACAATTACTAACAATGCCATTATTTGATCATTACTCTATATCTATAATTGATTGAAGTATAATGTCTGGATTTGTAATGATCAACTGGATAGTATTTTCATCATACCCTTAATCCTAGAACTATCTTTAGTTCCGTTTGATTGAAAGTACCATGCTTAGACGAAATAACTATCCAATGATCCTTGATTTTCAATAATATCACAACTAACATTAATTTATGATAGACAAGTGTCTTATGAAGAATATTCATCGGTTAATAAAAATGAGAGGAAAATCTGACAGATATCTCATAACCGTATCATTGATATGAATATGTTATTGGCACGAATAAGCCATTCGACCTACTGATTTTGCGTTTTTTCTGTTTGCTGATACTCTTCCTCTAATGTTGTTATCGTCGTGGGATGAATATTGGGACCTTCGGAACTTTTATCCCAGATTGTTATTATTATCAATCACAAATTGGTCGTTGCTAGACTACCATTGTGAATCTGGATGCATTGGAAAACTGTGTGAAGTTAGATTCCAGTGGTCTAGAAATTAAGCATTCGCGTGCCAGGCAGAAGGTTGCGGGTACGATTTCGACTTGCTAGGTTGTGTATGCTCACTTCTGTGGAGTCTCATATTAAGAGAGAACACCCATCCAGTGCTTCCGAGTTTTCACTGGTTGTCTAACTTTGGAATGTATTTACGATTCGACTTTTGGTGTATATTATTCCTTGTCTTTTCTTCTCACTTTTATTAAGTCTAGCATCGGAGCTGTTTGTTGTGATGACTGAAAAGAAACTCAATTGTTGGAATACTGTTTAATCCATTCATGGAAGTATCTATCTCCAAAATGCTGATTCTGTTATTTTATTGAAGATTACACAATCACCTAAGTCTGAAATATCAACTATTTAGACACATAAGCTGGATGTGACTGTATCCCAAGGTGGATACTGACTCTGGGATGCAGATGCGACTATCTGACGAGTCCCAAATAGGGCGAGACTCGCGTCCTGGATTCCACTGCCAGCCGTCAACCATCTCTGTTGATAATTACTGATCTACGAATGAATTATAAAATAGAATAAACTAAGGATTTTCTATCGTACTGCTAACCATGTGAAAATACGAAATGACTGATTATAATCAGTTTGATGTAAAATATGCAACGTAACAATCTTCTAAAACCCTCATTAGTAATCACGGTAGTGATGTACTCGCTAGAGAGTGGTAATTCCCAGAGTTCCTGTGGAAAGCTTGTGGTCGGTAGACTTCTGCAATATGGGATATGAGGTAGTTAACCACCAACCACAGTAGAGCATTATTGTAGATTAATTAAAATTATAAATGCAATTAATTGTTAACCAGTCTAAAGGTTTTCTATTGCACACACAACAACAAACGCAAGAGAAGACGACCAGTGTAGCAGCAGCCTCACCAACAGTACGTCTCAATATACATCAAGCGAAAATCAAAATTCTCCGACAGATTACAACATAAAACAATCGAATCACACTTGAAGGAGAAGCTTTGGTGGATGTAAAGACCTTCACATATCTGGACATCATCATTGATGAACACGGTGGATCTGATGCAAATGTGAAGGTGGTGATCGGCAAAGCAAGATCAACATATCTACAAATGAAGAACATATCGAACTCAAAACAACTATCTGTCAACCAACACCAAAATCAGAATTTTCAATACAAATGTCAAGACAGTTCTACTGTGTGTGTGGGGGAAACTTCGAGAACTACGAAAGCTACCATCCAGAAAATAAGTGTTTATTAACATCTGTCTACGCAAGATACTTCGGATTTGTTGGCCAGACACTATGAACAGCAACCTATTGTGGGAGAGAACAAACCAGATTGCGGTGGGAGAATAAGTCAGAAAGAAGCGCTGGAATTGGATGGGACACACATTGAGGAAAACAACGAACTGCATCATTAACGCAAGCCCTCACTTGGAATCCTCAATGCCAAATGAGAAGAGGAAGACCAAAGAACACATTACCCCGAGAAATGGAGACAGACATGAGAATGGTGATCATGACTCAGAATCGATCACAATGGTGTCGATGTATACACACTTTGTCTTCCTTTAAATTATGACATGAAAATCGCTTTGGGTCTTTCGTTCTGCCAACTAATTCTTTCTTCCTGTACTATATCATTATATGCAATTTTTCTTTTATATATTACCAACATTAAATGAACTACTACTATGAATTTATCTTGTTATACTAATTAGGTATAACAACTTGAACTGATGCATATAGGTGCCTGATTCTTGGTTGTATTTGACTGACTATTTGACTGATCATTCATAACAATGTAGTAAATTTATATTCAACGTTCATGTATTATTTTATATTAAAAGTAATTGGCAATATGAATTAGAATAATTTTAGATTAAATATATAAACGACATAATTTTAAAAGAATAAAATAAAAAGAAGTAATAATATTGATAATAAATAAAAAAAGAAAAAAGAAAAGAAAAATAGAGAAAAATATAACTGAGAAAAGAAAACACAATCTTGTATAGATGTAATTGTTATAGGATTACAATGAATACCATGTAAACTGTACATGTAAACTGTATTACAGAAATGAAATATATATAGATATGTATAACCTGATTCATGATTATTCACCATTGAACATATCAGAAGTGATTTGTGGAATAGGATGTATTAGAATGATCGATTGGTGTCAAATGTTTTCCATCGTAACTAGTGTAAATTGGTGAACTATTATTATTATTATTATCATGAGTAGTAGTAGTAGTAGTATTGATAGTAGTATTCTGATTATATTTTGCTTTGATCATATTTAAATGATGTGAATAAGTTGTATAGAATTGATCATCTGAATAATACAAACCAGGTTCTAAATTTGGTAAACAATGAATTATATTTGAATTGATTGAATAATCTGAATTTGAAATATTTTCAAAAGTTTCTTCACCTACTAAATAAAGAATTTAAGTAGGCTAAATATTATTTGATAAAATATTTATGATCAATTGTAGTATGTTACTATCAGTATAGGGGTTGTAGAGATTATTAAGTTTTTGATTGAGATCATGAACCAATTGATGTTAGACCACCGCTGGAAACCTGGAATTACTAAAAGGCCGCCTCGTCCTAATGTCGAAGTCCTCATCAGTGCGCATCCACGATTCGGCCCGCGAGATTCAAACCCAGGACCCTCAGTCTCGCTCTCGAACGCTTAACCTACTGGACCACTGAACCTTCATTCATTGGTGTTAGTGTTTAACATCAACCAATCCACAAAATCGTACGATCATTTCCCATTATACTGAGGTAGATGCTTGTCCCTACCCGACACGGATTAGCTTCAGTGGTCACGGCTTCTCACTAGAACTCCGAGAATTCCCTCACGATGCTAGTCACTAGTGAGCACAGGTTAATTATCAGTATAGGGGTTGTGGAGATTATTATGTTTGTGATTGAGATCATGGACTGATTAATGTTTGGTTACATTTGGGATACTATGGAAGATAACAAAGCATTGAATAATTATTTTATTCTAGTATAAAGCTTAACAACAGTGTCCATGCATAACAACTCATCAGGAGTTAATGAATGGCTTTCAGGTCTCGCGGTATTTAACAGAATATGAACCCAAATTTCAACACTGATTTTTTTAACGCCATGGCCTAAACATGATGTATATCTGTGTTTACTTATCATCTTCAGTTCAAACAGTAAGGGAGCAATTATAAATGAGATACACTATTGGCTGGTGTCGATTATTCACCTGCTCAAGATCTCTGTCTATATATTAATAACTGAATCAAGAGGACAATTATATATGTATCTAGCCAATTCTCAGTTTTCCTACAGTCATAGCTATATGAACAAAAGAATATAAAGTATATAGGACGGAATTAAATCTTGTAGACCGTTGCAAATTTCGTTTATGGACCGTTGGAATTCAGTTGTCTTGGTAACCTGAATTCTACTGTTTCAACTTACAGTTCAAATTTGATCATGTCAATACTAATTTACTGAATGATACAACTTTTGTGGAAATCACATCAACCTTAAAGGCAATTTAATTCACTTCACTTACAAAACATAAATATGTTGTCAGTGTACTCGTCATCAACTTGTCTGACACTGATCACGATTTGTAGACTTGATATACACGTTTTACTTACTTACTTATTTACACCCGTTACTCCTCGAGGTGGAGCATAGACCGCCCAAATGGATTTGATCCTAGTTGTTCATCGATGATACTTCATACACGTTTTACATTAAAATTATTGAGTTTAAATTAGTATCATGAATAATGGATCAATGTTAGACGGCTATTGAAAACCTGGGATCATTGGACGACTATGTTGTCCTAGTATGAGACTCCTCATCAATGTTCATCGACCATCCCATACATGAGACTTGAACGGAAGAATTTCGGCCTAGCACACGAACATTTAACCTATACTAATATTTAAATGACTCTCAAAATAGGTTTCCTTTAATTCAATCAACTTGATTGATATACTGAGACCTACTTATAAAACAAAGTAATGAATCGTTTTTAAATTGCATCCAACTGTGATATAAACATTGAAACTTACTTACTTACGCCTGTTACTCCCAATGGACGATAGACCACCAGCCAGCATTCTCCAACCCACTCTGTCATGGGCCTTCTTTTCTAGTTCTATACAATTGTTGTTCATTCTTCTCATGTCTGTCTCCATTTCTCGGGGTAATGTGTTCTTTGGTCTTCCTCTTCTCATTTGGCCTTCAGGATTCCATGTGAGGGCTTGCGTTAATGGCGCAGTTGGGTGCTTTCCTCAATGTGTGTTCTATCCACTTCTAGCGCTTCTTCCTGATTTCTTCCTCCACTCCGATCTGGTTTGTTCTCTCCCACAATAGGTTGTTGCTCATAGTGCCTGACCAACAAATCCGAAGTATCTTGCGCAGACAGATGTTAATAAACACTTATTTTCTGGATGGTAGCTTTCGTAGTTCTCGAAGTTTCCCCCACACACACAGTAGAACTGTCTTGACATTTGTATTGAAAATTCTGATTTTGGTGTTGGTTGACAGATAGTTGTTTTGAGTTCGATATGTTCTTCATTTGTAGATATGTTGATCTTGCTTTGCCGATCACCACCTTCACATTTGCATCAGATCCACCGTGTTCATCAATGATGATGTCCAGATATGTGAAGGTCTTTACGTTCAGCAAAGCCTATCCATCAAGTGTGATTCGATTGTTGCATGTTGTAATGTGTCGGAGAGTTTTGGTTTTTCCTTTTGTGTATGTTGAGACGTACTGTTGGTGAGGCTGCTGCTACACTGGTCGTCTTCTCCTGCATTTGTAGTTGTGTGTACGATAGAAGAGCCAGATCATCTGTGAAGTGTAGATAGTCCAGCTACATTCTAGCTGTCCGCTGTATCCCATGCTCCCCCTCAGATGTTGATGTCTTCATAATATAGTCGATCACCAGGAGAAAGAAAAACGGTGGGGGTAAGCAACCTTGTGTGACATCGGTCTTTCCTTCGAATGAGTCTGTCAATCGTCCTCCATAAACGATTTTTCAGTTTAACCCATCATAAGAATGCCATTTAATATTGATCATGTTCTCACACACGTCATAGTATTGAAGAAACCTTCATAGTATTGGCTTGTTCACGCTATCAAATACTTTCTCATAGTGAATGAAGTTGATGTTAAGTATTGATATAAACATTGAAACATTGAACAATATAATTAAAACAAATTCGGTAATAGAAAAAAAGAATCCATTCAGTAAAATAAAACTTACAATGCATTGTGATAAGTGATTGATTTACATCATTATTATTAACATTATAATTATTATTGTTGCTATGGCTACTGATATCGAAATTGGCGCTAAATTTTTTTACTGTACTCATAATTGGTTGAACCGCCTGATAATATTGTGTTAATGTATCAATATTCGATTGTTTCTCTGTAATACAATTATGATTATTATTATGATTATGATTATGATTGTTATTATCATAATAATAATCTAATACATTAGATATATGAATTGATGGAATAGATTCTAATTCAGATTGTATTATAGGATCATTGAATGAATTCGTTTCAATATTTGTTTGTTTTATCATAGATATAGTTGTATCTATGGTTGTAGGATACATTTTATGTAATTGTGTTGTTATTGTAGATGAGTTGATAGGTAAATAATGATTGATATTAGTTAATTGTTCATTTA